AAAATCATTTATAGTTATTTCACGGTGGTGCTGAAAAATTACCACCAACAGATTTTATCACAGTACGTAGTTTCTTTAAAAATATATTATATATTGTAAAGCATTTAAAACCACACGAATTAAGTCGATATCCATATCCAACAATATCGAGTGGAAGTGTAACAACGAATATGATTATTTTTGCTAAACGGTTCTAAATAGTGGTCTCTATTTCACGTGTATTTAAGAACACGTTCCGTACGTGTTTTTATAGAAACAATACTAAAGTGCGTGTTATTAAAATACACGTGTACACGTGTATTTAGAGTCCGTGTACTCGTCTCGTGTATTAAAAGTCCGTACGGTATGATCAGTGATGGATACAAAAATTGGGGACAGGGACACGTGCCCCATGTGCCCCTCCCCCATTGTTGTTTACATAAAGTAAACACACATTTAATTAAATTTTTAAATAAGAAACTTTTTAATAATAAATAAATAACTATTAATTTGAGTTTTATTTATACGATTGTATTATAATATATTTGACAGTAAAAACACTATAAAAATAACTTATAAATTCGATCAAGTCAATTGTCTATTCTATTAATAAATTACAAATTAGATTCATACATAATAATATAAATTATAAATTTCATATTTGATTTTTTTAAAAAATTATAAATATATATATTTATTAAATTCATGACCAGAAACGACCCTTTATTAATGATAAAATAAAAATAAATTCCTATAACTAGTTTTTTATTAAGATACACGTGTACACGATCTTTAAAAACACGTGTAATTAAATACACGGGTATTCCTACATATTATTTAATGTTCGGACTACGTGTACACGTGTATATCAATACACGTACCAAACCGAGAGCCATAGTTCTAAGCCATATATTACGTAAACTATACATATTTTATTTAGTATATTTGTAAATATAGTTCTGTTTTTAGTGAATGCATAATCATTTGTATTAACCAATCAAAAAACTATATATTCTTAGTTTTTTATTTATGTTGAATTATTGCCCAAATAATTGTAATTATTTTAAAATATTGAAATACGTTAAGTTACGAACCAAGTTTAACTTAATTATTAAACTAAAATTTATTAAAAATTAAAAATACATGGCATAATTTTTTTTGTTTTTATCATTAATAAACATAAAAATATCGTAATAGTTTTTAAATTTTAATTGGTATGAATATCAGAAATTAATATGGTATTTATTTTATATATATATATATATATATATATATTCTACAAACTATTTGATAGATATTACAATATTTAAATATATTAAATAATGTAATTATTTTTTTATCAGTATTACTAATATTTCCAATAAATGATTTAAAAGATATTCCAGCAGTTTATAAAATATACTCAACAATTCAAAATAAATTGTACTGTCATATTTTATTTATAAACATTATCAAAATTTCATTAATTTTAATAAAAATTAAATTTTTCTTATTTGCTTCGTCAAAAACCTTAATTTTTTTTTTGTTGTTGAATTAAAATAGTAAATTAAAGCGTAAAAACATAATTTAAAAATATTGTAATATTATTCTGTAAGATTCATTTTAAAATCATAGACGATTCGTAGATAGCACATTGATAGGTATATTCAACCGTGGAAACTTATTCTTTCGTCCGAGTTCAATATCCTCATATAGTTATGATTCGCTAGGTCATTCGCTGTTTTAAAATAATATCTTAATGAGCAACTATCGAAGACCTTCGGATAGTTCTGCAATATTGATTTTGCTTGTATTTCAATTTGTTTTTCCTTTTTTTTTTTACTTAGTATTTAACACCTTATAGTCCTCAATGTAAAAAAACAAATTCAATCTCATTCATATTTTTTTCAAGTTTTATATTATAATAAATAATTTAGTCAATATTTCTAAATAACATTTTCAAAGTAATTAAGTTTGTTTAGTACAACAAAATAAGAGTGATGAATAATATTCCTTTTAATAAATCTAAATAGAAAAATAAGACAAAAATATTAAAATAGGAAAAAAATATTATTATTTTATTGAAATAGATGTGTATAAAATAATAAAAATAAGAGTGATGTATTAATTTAAAACATACGAAAATTTGGGAGTCTTTTGACATATCGCGGACATTTAGTATTAACAATGTAATTTGACAGTTATAATTAATATGCTTGTAAAAAAAAACCTTGAAATATGAGAAATTGTGCTAAATAATATTTCTTATTTAGATTTTTTTGGGTGAAATTCAATAGTTATAACACCGTTTACCATAACAACCAATCTTTCTAAATGGAATTGTAATGTAAGTTATTGTTCTATTTGTTTAAATGAAACATTTAGAGTTGATTGCTAAAATATTTTCCTAAAATAATATTAATAATGAGGACGCAATAAGATGCCATCATAAGTATTTATTTGTTTGTTATAAATCTGATAATCGTTGAATCCAGTGGCTTCCAAGTTCTTATAGTAAACTTGAGATAACAAACCTTTATTCAACTATAAACATATATACATCTATATAGTAATAATAGGTATACATATTGAATAGTATAGTTTATAAGAAACGAAATTACCATGATCTATAAATACTTAATCTCAACAATTTGTAACTTATTGGATTTTTAATTTTATTGTATTTTTAAATAATTTGAAAATTCATAATTAAACAAAACTGTATCAAATCAATTTAGATTTAAATTTAGAGACTATTGATAAATTTGATACTCTAAAAGAATTTCATAATTGTTATGTAATAAAATATTAACTGTGATAACGTATTTTTACATACCAAATATTTGTAAGTCATGTTAAAAAATGATCAAACCTTTCAAATGGGTGAGACTGAAGTAGTATACTTGTTATGTGAATGAAATCAAACTAATTAAAGCATATTATTTAATTTATTACATACTGTTAAAATGATTTCACATCATATAAATGATTATTTATATAATTTAAATTAAATACTTTTTTTAATTTTTTTGTGAAAATTATGAATGTAATATTTTATTAAAATAAAGTATATAATACCCAAAATAGATATAGCATATTGATGAGCTACATTAAAACATTATTGAATTATTTTGCCATGGTAAAATAAAATAATTCTGTACTTGGATAGATGTTGTACATTCTAGTTATGGTATACACGGAAACCTGCATTCAACACTTGAACTTGCATTTTCAACAATAATTGACAGAAGTTGGAAAATTCCAGAAAATGAAATAGAAAAAAACGTCAAATCGAGAAAATCGGCACTGTTAAATCAAAAATTAACAACTATGTATGAATTTTCAAGTCTGTTTAATTTTTATAGAATGAGGATATCCCCATGGACCGGATAAAAGTATACCAAAATCGATAAAGAAATATTCTTTATAAAGGATAACTGATATTTAATTGTAAGAAAACTAAAATAATATCTAAGAACGTGTTATTCTACAATTATGGAAGTTATGAAAACCAAACTTTTATGATATTCTAGCAGTGGTGTCGTTCCCTATATTTAGATATTCCGTAATACCTAATTTAAATGAATGGTCCCATGGTGTACGGGGGTAAACTGGTACTAGGATGTACAAGTTAACTTAATAATTATTACAATTTGGATTTTGGATATAAAACTGTTTCAAAATTGTAATTATAACTCAATTTACTTAAAATTTATTGAAGTTATACTCAAAGTTTATTAATATGCAATACAATATAAAACAAACATCGGTACAATTATATTCTAGGTACAATAGAATTATAAAATACAATAAAAAACTAGTAAATACGAAATTATTTGGAGAAATATGTGATTTATTTATAAAAATACTAATTTTTGATAAAAAATATGAAACTTTCTTGAATTTAATTAAAATAATTTGTATATTTCTGGTTTTGTTACATATATTGGTTGATAGCATTATTAAAAAGCTTTAAAATAAAAAAAATATGTTAATAAAGTTTTCAGGATATAAAAAAAAATATACGAGGTTGGTTTGTTTTTGTTAAAAAAAAAGATAAATTTATTGCCCATAACTAAAAAAATTAAAATTAAACCCCCTCTTTAAAAGATTTTTATTCATCATTGTTGGTATACTTTTATATAATTTCAACCGGTTATTCCTGGGATACATTTTATAGATCCAAGATGGCCAAATTTTAAATACTTGTGATCGACTTATGAGTTTTTATATATTGTCACGATCGACAAAAAAAATTAAATATATTTTTATACTTGCATGTTTCATATTACTCTTTCTTTATATCTTCTATTTAAATTATTAATGAGTAGCTAATAATAACTTTAATTTTACAACTATATGTAACACGTATTTTAGTATATTTTTCATAAATTTATAAAAACGTGATTAAATAAGGAATATCTATTAGATTACCGACATATACCTAAATAGCTACTCGACCTCAGTGAATAATTTTATTTTTCATAGTTATTTATTACTATATATTGCCTTAATTAACAGTTATCAATATAGTTTTTATATTCGTGGGTTTGATAAAAATATAAAAATTTACAAAAAAAATGAATATTTAAATTTTTTTTTGGAAAAATGAAAAAAAAATATAAAAATATAAAAGGGAGTCATGATCAATTAACTTATACCGCGATCGACCTGCTGACCACCTCTGGTATAGATAATAACTAATGAAAAATAATAGGTAATCATTTAAATTAGACAATGACAATGAATATTGGTTGACCTAAAAATGTATAAATACGTAACTGCTATATAGTCTAGATTTAAAATTTCAGTGTATTGTGGTCACGACTGCCGTCCAATAAATATACTCTTCATAATATATTTCAGTGAGTAAATTATTATCTATCAATGTTCTATTTTTAGATTTTAATTCTTTTATTCTAATTCATTACTTTTATTTAAAAGATTCATTCAACACCGGCACCAAGAATTTCAAATATTTTTATTGGATATTTTACATTACAAATGTTAACTATTTAATGGGATATATAATATATAAATAATATGAACTATATTTTAACCTATCTATCTTTGTTTTAACTTCGAGAAAGTAATTATCAGCTGAATTTCAAGTATCAAATGTAATTATGTATTTTTGTATTGAGGTAAGAGACCATAATATAATACTTTACAATTACAATATACGTTACAAATGTCTTTATTCGAGTGCTTAAATGTTATTATAATTCATTTTTGACACACTTTATTTTTATTAATCATTGCAGTGATATTTCAGATGAGTGCGTGTATTGTAGTGTTTCAGAATTGAGAATACAAATCAGTGCGTGTACCACACAATTGAAAATATTTGCAGGTAGGCATATTAATTATAAGGAAAGGTTAATTATAATATAGGAAGTTAAAAAATGTATAAGTAAGACATTTTAATTAAATCACTTAAGTAATCGTATATTTCTTGAATAGAATTTAAAAATGTATTCTATAATATTGTCAATGTTTGGTCTTTTGTCATCACATCGAAAAAATGACCATCGTATATGTAATACGAGTTCCATTAAAATAGTATAATAATAGATAATATACTCTACCAGCTAAATTACCCGCTTTCGCTCGTTAGATATCTTACTATTTTAGATGAGAGCACTTACTATTTCGATGTAAAAAAAAATGAGTATTGTTATATTCTTAATATATATATATATATTTTTAATTTTTCAAACTTTATTAATTCACAAATGGTTCAATCGATAAAACCAACATATTAAATTTAATTAAATATTTCTTAGGTAAACAAAAAGTGAAAAAGTAATTTATTGTTTTGAAGCATTTATAGAATTTGATATATAAAATTTATAAAGAAACAATACAATCTATATGGATGAATTAATCAATAGTAGGAGATTAATTTGTTTTATTTTAAACACTCCTACAGGCTAAATTATAAAAACTAGGGTAATAATTATTTTAAGATTTAACACAAAAAAATTACGTACAATTATCCAGTCTGCTTAAACTATGTAAACTACCTGTTTAATTCAAAAAAATGTTAATATAATTTTCATTATGTATCTTCTAAACTATGTCCGGTATTCACTGGGTTTTACATTTCAATCTTATAAATTAAAATAATTTAAAGCCTGTCTTCAAAAGTCTAATTTCTCACGCAATCAGTTTAATATTTTTGGTTAAAAATGCAGACAATGCAACGCTGGAACGGTAGTCTCAGTGTAATTAAAAAAAAAAAAAAAACGTTAAAAAAATACTCTTCACTGGTTGCTATGACAAAATATACCGCTACCACAAATTCGGTGAACTGTGAACTACTCCAGCCAAATTAAAACAAGGTGATAACATGATGTGACAAAAATTAACTGTTTATGAATTTTACAGATCGAATAAAAAATATTAAAAGAAAAACCCAGTAAATAATCAAAGTTTTAATTCATGTTTGGTGCACGAACCCTTGAAATTTTTGTTTGCTCGTGCGGACACACAATACCTAATTTTTACATACTATTGTATGTGTAGGCAGGCATTAAGTAGACATTGAATAAATTACAGTGACGGCACATCTAATCATTGTTACCTTACGCGGATAGTCAACCATAACGAAAGTGTATTCATTATACGCATATCGGCGAAGAAGATAATTCTTAAAAAAAATATATAACTATAATATTATTATTTTAAATGCCCGTTTGTAGTATAGAAATATGTTAACATAAATCGTTAAGAGGAAGTTAGATTTGGGTCATCGAACAATGAGAATTTAAGAGTAAGTACATTTTTTATAATATCGTGGGTGTACAATGTACATATACGGTCAAAGATCACAGCAAAACCGTATAATAGACAAGAACGGAGACCATTAAGCGTCACCATAGTAATATTATAGTCATGATTTAGTATTTACCACCGTCGACCGTAAACACGTTACATTGTGATTTGTAATAATTATTACATTAACTGTTCGCCTAGCCATTAATACAATTATTATGAACCGTCTAGGGTTTCCAACATGATCGGAGTTAAAATCTTGAAATTATGAATAAATCTAGTAGACCTAGAATATCTGATTTCTAAAAATGTTTACTTCCGGTCATACCTAAAGGCATGTAGTTAACTTGTTTCTTCATTTCAAATATAACAACAAACATTCTAAGTATTGTTTAATAAATCATTCACGAGAAAAATAAGAAAGATTCCATGATGTATACGTATTATAAAAAATACAAAGACATGAAAAAAAATGTATTTATAGCTTATATCTACGCCTATAATAAGGTTTTGATACACACATGTTATATACGCATCGTTACAATGATAGTCTTAAAGTTTTTCATAACACTATTTTAAATGAGAATTATTTTCAATATCGTACATCAATATACGTACATGAATTTAAAATATTTTATCGACGAATCAAAAATAGTTATAGAATTTCTACTTATAGTTTGTTATATTAATATTATGTCTGTATAACATATTATGTACAGGACAATAACCATTGAAAATTGAACGTTTTTGGGAATGGTCAAAGAGCCAAAAACTGAATATCGACAGACTTGATTGTCAACGGTGGAAACATCGACAGATATAAGATGGTTGCAAATACTAGTTGATATTAAATGGATAGTTTTTCCAGGTATAAACAAAAAATAAAAAATTGTTAATCATGTTACATTTTGCGGAACATTAATTTTAACTTACAAAATAGTTGTATAATAATTAACATAAATAATATAATTGCAAATTTTACAAGAACGTAAATCATAATAATCAATATATTATAAAATGTGTTTCATTATAAAAAAAATCTACTATGTTAATAATTTTATGATTATTTTTACATATTTCTTAACGCAGAAAATAACATAATAAGTATAATTGACTATAGTGTACCTACATGGTAATCGCGGTAAAAATATGTTTAAACAATTCTAGCAGTTATTTACAATCTGAAATTTCACACACTCATCGTATACCAAAGTTATGAAAAGCATTTGCTTAGAATCGTATAAAAAATACAAATAACCGCAAGCATCCGGTCATATATTATGAAATAAACGTATGCTCAAGTAGGTATACACGATACCAATTCATCTACATGTTGAGTGTTGACCGTGATGCATTGTTGGATCTTCGACGGTAATATTATAATGTACCTGTATTGTGTATGCACATACCTTGGACTCAGGAAGGTGAGATCAAATCGATGGAAACGAATAGTAGACAGGAATGAAAATGCAGTGGACGAAATTATAGATGTGTGCGGAAACAAATGGGCTATAGACGTTTTAGTAAATCACAACTTCATAGTTCATGGGATTTGTGGCTATCGTGCGCGAATGATGGATGGAATCAATTGGCCGTAAAAAAATTAAATTTCTACACAGCTCCTGTACTAAATATAACTATATATAAGTAACTATTAGGATTCTGTGTACTGTTTTTTTCCGCCGAATTCTTGACGTCAATCCAACCATAATTGAAGCTTCTTTTGCCGTGATGCAAACGGAAAATGCACAATGGACTAAAAAAAAACTATATAGTGCTTGTTATAACAAAAGTAGTCAGTTGTACTTAACAATTTTATCATGACTTGGTGAGAGAAAATTCAAAATCTGTAACTTATACAAACCAATAATGTATTCATAATAGTACATTTATATAATAATAATAATATTTTAACATCACTATAAAACTACTGACAACGAGCACAATGTTTGCGACAGCGTACCATCATTGACACACATCATACATTTTCATAAGTTTTTGAACTTTAAATGCAATTGCACCTCTGACAAATATGTTTTATGTTTGACGAAAATTAAAAACGGTTTCAATGTAATAATTTAATACATATATATATATATATCCATTGTTATAACTCTTCAAAAATTCATTTTTTTGTGTTGGACAATCCATAATTGTTTTAGATTAAAATATCTGGGAAATGTGAATGCACTTATTTTTAAATGATAGTACACAAATATTTAACTAATCTATAATAATTTTAGTTTTTTTTCAAAAAATTAACACATATTATTAATTATTAATGTTGTTTTAGAAATTATAATTATTTATTTGTCACTATAAACCTTTACAAGTGTTATGTAATTTTATAATTATGAATACACATTATAAATAAACATGATGACTTTGATTGTTAAAAACTAATATGCTTGTTTGTTCAGTATAAAAATAAAATAATTTTGTTATTCAAAGAGTTGTTAATCTATGTTACATTAAAAAAACGGATTTGGTTATTTACTATTTGTATATATATTTTAAGTTAAAATTATAAAATAATTTATTTTAGAGAAACAATACTGAATTATATGTAACATATAAAATATCAAAAGTATTGAAAACCAAGATGGAATGATGAGTAGTTCATATTTTATATATAATACACTACAATTGTGAACTGAATTTGACCCAAAATAATTTATGCAGATAATTTTTTTTTTTATGGAAATCTAGAGCTACGTGTATTATTTTATATGTACAACTTCTACGTTAGAAAGTTTTAACTTAGATTAATCTTAAGAATAATTACAAAACGGGCAACACGTACAAATTCGCTATCTCTAACATAATAGCAGCAGTGCCTATATGGATATCGTTAGTGTACGATTCACTCTGCTACCGTCACTGGGTCAACGTTTGTACAAGATCACGACACAGCGCATAGCGCAATTTTGCGCCGTTCATTAAAAATAAAATAAAACAAAACTTACGGTTAAAAAAATATATATAAACAAATAAATGGAATGAAAATTAGGTAAAATGGGTATACTTGCAAACTTGGAATTGAGAAGAATACGTGGCCAGTGTGGCCTACATATAAAGGTGTTATGAACTTCTACTACGGTAATGATCTGCAACACTGGGATATACTTATCCTATTATCCTGTTCAAAATGAATAATGATATATATATATATATATATATTTGCGTTATAATTTCATCGGGTTCGCTAATTATTACACGATACGTATGTACAAGTATATGGAGCTGTGAGCATGTAATATAAAAATCTTTATTATCCCGTGGATATGGAAACGCATCAGACACGTTAATCATTATTTTGTTTTCGTGTACCCAATAAAATCTAATTTGATGGGTAAAGGAAATCAAAATAAACAGCACTACGCCCGTGATATTATTAAACAATATTTAAATTGAAAACACCGTTCATCCCCGGAAACTAATTTGTATTTTTAAGACGGACTCGTGACGGTACACAACTATATCATAGCCCCTCTCCGATGCAATCGGTTTCATCGTCCGCGACGGCAACCAAATCAGAGGATACAGTTCATCCGTCTGTCTGTCTATTCACAGAACACAGTGCTGTTGTGTCGCTGGCTCAATATAGTAGTAATACAGAATTCAAAGTTGCTCGCTGAAAAAAAAAATAGTAACACACTTAAGACAAATTATACATTTTTTCGAAAGATTTTATAATTTTCTCATTGAGTCGTCTCCAATACTTAGGTAAGTGTTTTTTTTTTTTTACGATGATTATTAAAACGTGTTAGGCCGAAACATCTATCAAAATAAACCATCAACGTGTTAGGTTAATTAATGACATTAAAATCGACATTGATCATATTTTCGAGCAGAAATATTTAATAACAATATATTCTCCAGTTATTTGTATACATTTCTCATCAGTTTGGGCTGATATTTTTTAATTTGATATTCAATACATAATAATGTTAAATGAATTAATTGTATTATATATATTTAACACTGCTATTTATTAATATTTATGTATTCTACTCAAAACAATTTTTACAAAATAATCCATACACCAGATACTTCTATAATATAAAAAATGCATATTATCTTTTAAAATTATATTTTAAATGATTATTCATTCTACTAGTTTAGCAGAAAACCGTTTCCAATAATAATCTTCGTCTAGTATTGATGATTATTGTTTTTAATTAAAACTTGTTTATCGTTTAGATTAATTTTAGTTTTCTGCTTGAAAAAAATCCACATTAGAAATATTTATCATAATAAACTTAAATCTGTACATCTATATGCATCTCATGGTTGCTGCGTAAAAACTATAAAAATTTGTAATTTTTTTTTTTGTAAACTTAAATGACCATGCCTATTAATAATTTGTATTAAAATTGAAAATATCCATAAGGATAAAACAATATAATAAAATCATATGTAATAAAAACGTCAAACCACTGGAAGTAAGCATGTATATAAGTAGTCTTGGATTGCTAAATACAGATACTAAAATATTTTATCAGTCGTAACTTATAATTATTGTTCAAGAGCAGTTAATTAATTTTATTCCTTATGAATTTTTTTTTTTATAAGCTTATACTACATTTTTATATTGTTTATTTAATTTACGAATCCATCGAGAATTTAAAGTGCATACATATAAAGCCATGAATATTATAATATCTGTATGATGATGAGTTTTGTATAAAATATATTACACTCATGCTTAAAAAAACATTGCATTTAAAATGTACAGTAATAATATTTAGGTGTGTATAGGCTCTGTATTTTCTTTTTTTTTATAAATCAAATTGACGTTCTAGGATGGTCGGGTATTCTATGCGTAACCATTCCAATCAAATGCATTACACATGCTAAATATGCATGATTACATAGTAACGTGTTTTCTTTGTCCAGAAAACATAACGGATTCGATTAAATTATAATAGTGTGTTTAATACATTTCATAAATAGCCGCATAATGTTACAGAATCAGCTGACCATAATATTTTAGCATTATATATATTTAATAATGCCGTATAGCGTTACACTTATGATGTATTTATACGTTGATTGATTTGATAAATACTAGATACGTGTAAAAATATTTATATATTTAAAATTATGAGTAATAGGTGAGTGAATGGTGCATTTTTTTATTTTTAACAATGAAATCTGGAAAGTTAAGTAATTTAAATATTTAATAAATGATAAATATCTCATCACATCAGAATATTGTGTGGTGTCTAACACAATAAAATAACGCTGTATCAAATATTTCATAAAAACATATTTTATCCATAACTAGATTCTTCTGGGTGGTCTCAAACAGTTAAAAATATATGACGAGAACAACAAGCGAGCGCTTATTTGAAAAGTAGCGTATACCCTATTACTGCTTACTATATTGTACTAAATGTTAACGCACTTAGAAGATACTTCTGCATTTTTATTTTAATTAAACTGAAAGCAGAAAAATTAAATAAAAATAATCCATATACAATAGTCAGTTATATTTATTTATTTATTTTTTTTATTTAAAATAAAGGCTTCAACATCTTATGGTTATTAGTTTACAATGTAAAAATATAACAATGAGAACAGAATATGCATTACAGATATTTATAATTTACAATTTATGGTAAAGGTGAGTGTATTGGAAAATTTTTCGTGCATCGGCGTATTTTGGGCATCTAGTGATAATATGGTCGATCGATAGGTTCTCGTTGCATGTATCGCATAGTGGAGCAGGTTCCTTAGTTATGAGAAAGGAGTGGGTGAGGTGAGTGTGGCCTATTCTGGTTCTAGTTATAATGATATCGTCCCTTCTTTTTAGGTTACAGAGAGAATTCCGTTTTTGGATGGAAGGCTTGATGTTTCTTAGTTTATTCGAGAGAGAAACGTTGGTCCAATTTTTCTGCCATGTATCCAAAATTTTGTGATTGATGGTAGCGAGAGATTCTGAGAGTGTGGTTAGGTTTATTTTTAAAGCATTTTGAAGAAGTGAGGCTTCATTTGCGATTTTATCAGCTATTTCGTTACCCAATGGTGAGTTATATTTTACAGAAAAATAAAATAGTCAGTATTTAAACAAATAAATAATAATAATTTATAATTAATAACTATAAATTTATATCATTGAACTCTGACTTAAACGTAAAATGTATAATCCATTTAAATTATATTCGGAAATCTTTCATCACACTTTTTAAAAAAAAACAGATAATTCTAAACATACATTTATATTATATATCATATTTAGTTGATTGTAAAATAAAAGTAAATTCAAATCACTTTTAAGCCTATTATTATAAAACAACCATTAGTAAACGAGTACTTATAAAAAGCTGTTTACTTTTCAGTCAAAACAACAAACCTGTTTACTTAAGAAACACTTATGGTTATAAGTATAATATTTTAAAATTACTGTATAAATGGTGTGAAATTATTTTAAACGTTAGTATCATAAGAAATCATTCAACCAAATAAAAATTATTGTGCTCATTATTATTGTTGTTTATTATTATGATTACCCCATGGGGCATATTTTCGCTCACTTCTCTTAAATGCATATTAGAAAAAAACAACGCATAAACGAGGTGTGTCAACTAATTCTAGTGCTGTTTTTTTTTTTTTTTTTTTTTTTTTATATTCAGTTGTATTTTACAACTGTTTAAAGGTGCAATTCCCACACCCTATTACAGTATTACCTTTATACAAATTATATATAGGTCTATAAATATTAGCAGGTACAAAATAATGTGTAATATCGTAGTTTGGAGATAATCTAAATTGGAAAAGTGATACAAATTATACAGACTCATACTAAGTAGTTAGTAAAAAAAAAAATCTGATTTCTTTCAAAAGGTGAGTGTAATATATAATATATAATTGTTAGGTGTAATTGTTTTGTAATTATTTAAAATACAAATACGACAAATATCGTATGAGAAAATTAATTGGTCGTCTGACTAAACAATACATTTGAAAACACTTGTTTAATTTTCAAATTTTTTTTAGTCTGCATAATTTTCACGAATATTTTTAACGATAATTATGAACCTAGGAAACTCAAAATACAATATTTATACATCAATTATTTTTAGTTTAATTTTCAATCGGTTTATAAGGTTAACCTTATGTTACCTTTAGTTTTTACTGTCTCAAAAAGTTTAATATGGTAAAACATTTGTATACCTGCATAATATACATTTACATAAAATGTATATAATACATATTGTATAAATTGTGTATATTTTATATTTTATAGCACATAACCACGTATAATAGTACAATATGAGAGTATGTAATTAATTATCTTTAATTAATAATACATTTTATTTTTTAAATTACTTTTTTTTATCATCAAAGTACAGTCGACTCTCGGTAACTCGAATCTTGATAACTCGAAATTCTCGATATCTCGAATAATTAAAATTCCCCTTCAAATAACAATAACACTTAATGTTTAAATAATATTGATAACTCGAAAATTAATTTAACAAGTTTTTGATATCTCGAATTTTCTTATCCAAATTCATTACTAAAAATTGTTTATCAAGGTGATTATTTTTCTTATGACTATTATTTACTTTTATTTTTCAAATGTTTGTCTGAAAAAACATTCATATTTAAAGGCTAATCTTGTTCAGGTGAAAAACATAGCAAAGAAAGAGTAACACTTTTGTTAGGGCCAAATATGTCGGGTACAGAAAAATTAAAACTATTTTTGATTGATAAGTCGAAAAAACCAAGAGGTTTTAAACAAGTAAAATCATTACCATTAAATTATCATGGGAATAAAAAATCCTGGATTACATCTGAAATTTTTAATTTGTGGTTAATGAAATTAGATAAAAAATATAATCACTGAGTAAAGGAAAATCTTACTTATTATTGATAATTGTACTGCAACAATTTAACTTCAACTTTTAATGCTATTCAAGTGCAGTTTGTATATCCTAATTCTACATTTGTATTAAAACCATTAGACCAAGACATAATAAATAATTTTAAAATATTTTACCAAAATTATTATATATTCATGTATAATATGTAGGAATGCAAGAAAATATATTTTTTTATTCCTCAAATGTAAAAATTATTTAAAAATCAAAACATATTTTCTAAAAGTTTTTGATAACTCGACATTTTTAGTAAGTCGAATTTTTATTTTTCCCCTTGAACTTCGAGTTACCGAAAGTAGACTGTACTATTAAATTAAAATTACAAAAAAAACTTTAAATTTTTGATTGAAATTTTATAATAGTAAAATATTTTAATATATGTGCTGGTGTTATTAAATCTGAATTTTCTCCAAGTTTTAAATAAATTCAATGAATTTAAGGTTTTTGAATGGGGAATGTTTTGAAAATAAAATCCAGAAATGAATATGTTTCTGTCAGACATTCACCGATAAAATCAATTTTAAAAATATTTATTTGCCACTGAGGTATTAAGGTGGATATTAAGTTACACACTGAACAGAACATCGGAAGATTTTTATATTGGTTGCAATTTATCGTGCATTCTATGTAGATACTAATAAGTAATATAGTCTAAAAACGATTTGTCAACGAGTATTGAACCACCCAACCGGGCGATAAAAATCACTGTACGTTAAAGAAAAATCGATGATAACGTCAACAGTAACATTTGTTACATGTCGGCCGTGGTCACGCAACTTATTCTAGCTTTTCGCAGCACGTTTTCCGCGTGACCAGCAGACGTCCATCAACATAATCGTTCGAATGGTCATGCTTTATCCCCGATTTTTGACTGAAAACAAAATACGTATATGTATAGAGCTAATCACTCCATCATAATATCGTGTTAATTACGACTCAACTAACAAATCATATTATGCATACACGTCATTATGAAATTGGCACTTCTATTTAAATGCGGACGCTTCCAAAATCGTCAATATCAATATAAGTTACGTGAACCGTTCTAGGGATCGCTGGAAACGAGAAATTACTTTTGGTGTATTATTATGATGCAAATAGTCTAGGTATTCTCTACTCGGTTAGTTTTATCGATAAATGTATCGTCATCGGGTCACGACTTCATTCACCGCAAAAAGCGGAATATCGCACGGTCGTTGGCTCTCGTCGTTTACCAATACGACTATTTTGCGTATACATAGCCAGAGTTGCATTTGTAATAATTAGAGATCGGATTTATATTCTTTAAAATCCTTAAAATATAATGTTTTTATGTCGTTCAAAATATATTCTCTAAATATTCTTTCAATATTCTGTAAAAAAAAAAAAATATTATAATTACTTGGTTTAAATTTATCAATTACTAAATGATATTATTTTAATTAAATTTACAGTAAAATGCTTGAAAAAAAATTGGTTTTAATGCCAATTTTACCCGTACGTGGATTTAATGTACTTAAAATTAAAATTTTTTTTTTTTAATCTAAACTTCTAAAGTATGTAATTATTCATTTTCATTTAATATTCATATACATACTTGTGCGTTTTTAAAATTTAATTATTTATTGTATTTAATTTATTACAAACTGCAAGCTTGGAGCTGCAATACTAGAGTAATGAGACCAAGTATAGTACGAACTAATTAAAAGAAAAAAAACCAAGTTATTTTAGATATTATTAATTCGAAGCAAAGTTTGACATTTAAACGATGTTTTGACTACCATGCTGTAATAACGGATGCGATAATTATTTAATTTTATTTAAATATCTAAAAATATCTAAAATATTAGATTATATATAGTTAAAAACAAACTTAAATCCATGAACTCACGCCGTAACTCTTTTCCTGTAAACTACTTAAATTATGAATAAAAATTAATAGTATAATTTGACATTATGTGCGATAAGCTCAATTCTCAATGTCTTCCTCATTTTTGTCTCATAATTTTCAACTATCATGCATATTGAATACTGGGGTTCCAAATACGTATACCAACGACTGCCATAGTTTTATTATTTCCAGACACCAATGTAATTGTTTTCTACCAGACCGTGTGATCTACTATAAGGATGATTGATAATCATAATAATAATATAACAATAGTAGTGTATAATCTTATAAACAATATTCACAAAAAACATTTATGATGGGAATATACAAAACTACTGGTGGGAAATCGGATTAAACAGAAGCGAAAAATACAGTTGATGGTGCGTGACTTACCAAACACGACCGTCATAGCGACTGTAGGTCCGTGACCCTGACCTATGTCCTACGTCCTCGTCCCGTGTGTTGTGTCACTCGCGGCCCAAACATGTACCAGGGTCCCAGTCGTAGCATGGGTAAACTTGGAAATACATAAACGCACATATTATTACAAAATAAATATTAAATTTGAACTCGAAATTACTCGCATTGTCGAACATAGAAGCCACTATAAAAACTGTTCAAAAATATTCTCCACCGCAACACCGCAACCGGTATTGTAGTATTCGGACGACTCACGTGTAAACCACGGCGTTTCCCGTTTTAATTATTATTTTACATCCGATTTTGATACGTCTTAATGATCGTTACACTTGTATGATCTGAATAATTCGAGTAACTGGACTCATAGTGAAATAAAAACAAAACATCTAATACCATGTCGATAAACGTTCGTACGTCATTTTTTTCGCCGACTAACGTGTATTGTAATCCGTTTGGGCGAATGTAAGTTCCCACATTAAATACACGCAGGTAAAACCCACCCGTGCGTAAGTACGGTTACCCTATGACTAATAAAATATATCATAAAACATGTTTTCTCACATAAAAATTACAAAATTACGACAATTAAACTATTCAAGCTGAATGATTTTCTTATTTATTCAGACACAGGTCTGATAATTTATAAAATATGTCCCACGAAGATTTACTAATTTGGATGTATCCTTTACTCGTATGTTAATAAAAATAAGCAAATCTTATTTTTATTAATTTTTAACTACTTTATATGACTAAAAAACTAAATTTTGTAACTAATTCTGTTATATTTATTCAATTTTAATATTTATTCAATTTCATTAAATATACTTTTTTTGTTAACTTTTCTGTCATATTTACTAAACCCTGATACCATGATAACTTGTTATTAAAAATTACTTTGGATGGGTAACGTGATTGAATGAAATAGTTTATAATTTACAATTTTTAACAGTGCAGATATTTTAAAATACCCAAAAAATTTAAAAATTATGTTAATTAAAAATTAAAACTACAATAGTCATTTTGAGATTAATTTCAATCCACGTACACTATATATGTACTTATGTAATTATTTAATTCGTATATTAATCAATTATATTTCTTGAGTTTACCACGAGGTCAAACTTCAGAATCACAACAATTGTATAAGCTAATGATTTTTGGTTTTTATTTGTTTGTAGAGTACCATGAACATGTTCCGGATTGTTGCGCTTATTAGCGCGTTGTGTATAAACGGGAACCTGGCGTTCACATCCGGCGATGATAAATTCATAAAAAAATACGCTATGATGAAGGTATATATGACACAAATATTATGTTTTCTTTCTATGAAGTCGTAGTTTATTATAAAAGTGGACGTAAAAAACGGTTTCTTGCACACGCACATTAAATAAACAATTATTATTACACTTCAACGAATAATAACAGGTTTTTTACAAACGTATTCCACTATTGCACTATTGTAGTATAAAGTTTAGATCGAAAAGTGTTAAAATATTATAAATATATCTATACTTAAATATATATATATTCTGATTATCTGATATTGGTTTATGGAATACTAGTCTATAAAAATAAGTGTGGAAAATAAAAAAATTAAAATAATCCTAGTCATTAAAGTTATCTTGCAAATATAACGAAAATAGTTTTTGATGATTATGCAGATAATAATAAATCAATATTTTATGAAAACTGATCAATTTTATTTGATTTGTCAACTACACTCAGGTGTACGAGAATTGTTTCGGACAAGAAGTAATTAAAGAAGTACGTAAAGAAATGAAAATCGCCACGGCTAAATGCAATGGCAACATACCCATGAGCGTGCCTACACCGAGTATAGGCTCTTTAAAACTGGCCATGGGACCAATAAGTGCACATGAATTTGGTAGTATACATCAACAACAACAGCAACATCAAACAAAACCTCAGGAAGAAACACCTTACAGCAAGACGCAGCAGCCAAGTATCGACATCAGCAAATTGCAACAAGCTATATTGGCTGGATACAATAAACACCTGGTCAGTAATAACTTATATGATACTTAATAATATGCATAATAAATAATTAAGTACATGATATCTCATTCAAATCAAATTATCGAAACTTTTAATAGTTATTTCATAAGATAAACGATTCTTCATACAACCAAGTCATAAGTTAATATTTATTACGACTTTTAATGCTAATATCATAATTGTTAACTTATGAAACATTACCAGCATATTTAGTGATTTTATATTATTTTTTTCATTAAGCATCAGTCAAATAGGTCACAAAAACAAAACAAGAATGTACATAATTCAACTTTAATGATGTAACGTATAATTCTACATATATATATAATGTTATTTACATAAATTCGATCGCATTATACTTGGACATTAAAAAATAGTTTATAGATATATAGCGAAATTCCAAATTAACAGGAAGTAGTTTCATAAAAAAGAACAAGCATAAATAGAAATAATTGCAAAATAATAATCATAATGTAAGGCAAAAACGAAATGAATTTATTTATCAAAACTTAAATGTAATAGATACACCTACGTGTATAATGTGTGTTACTCTTAAATTAAAATAATAAAATAAAAGTAAATTATTTAAGTTTAATTAAAACTTTAAATCGGATTAATAATAATTAAAATTAAAATATTATATACCTTTGTATCACAATTAGTAAATCATTATGAAACATCCTGTTTATAATGAATTTAAAATGCATTTAAATATAAGCTTCAAATTCTACATCGTAATTAATATTAAATTACTGATATTTTGTAATTAGAAGTATAAAAAAGTAATTTAAAATAAGGATGAAAAATGTATTTTGTAAAAATATGAACAGTGTCAGTAAGTATACCGCCATACTCATATTTATTGACGCAATAATAACATTACGTGTAAAAAAATTCATAAAAAAAAAAAAAAAAAAAGTCTTAAATATTTATTTATAAGAAAATTCAAAATATAAGCCTTTTCTTAGTATCCTCTACTTTGAAACGTCAGTATTGCAATAAGTTGATGTTTAAATTAAATTATTAAAATATATATATATTAAAATAACTTCAATTTCCCTTACTTTACTTAAAGTCTCTCTAATATAGTACTATTCTCATATAGTATGAGCGATAAATCGGCTTAATCAAATTAACGTAGACTAAGATTAAGTTACATTTTAGGGAGGGCTTACATTTTTTTGAATAGAGAAATAAACCGGATAAATGATGTTGAACGCATTTAAATCATATACGAGTATATGAATATTGTTAAAGGTATATTTAAGTAGCTACTTGTGCAACTGAAGTATATTCAGTACTATCTATTAATTTAAATTTTTAGCTTAGGCGTCTACTTTAAAATTATAATATTATTTATATTTATTAAGAACAAATTAAATTTCGACGAATAAAATATGTTTTTTAAATAATAAAATCCGTTACTTAAATTACTTAAAATTATTTAAATTGATTGAATTATTGAATCGTTTTCCAAATAGCCTGACAATTTAAATCTTAAATGTAAAGATAATGATGAATAATTGATCAAACAGTTTTTTAAATTTCAACTGATATAACTGAAGGTGTAAAAATTGTTCTTTGTACTGTGAACGTAAATATTATGTGACACCTCGGTGATACTGTTAAATTCGTACCAGGGTCTCATAGCGTGCCAGGTGATTTGTTTACTTTTGTTTGGATCGCTTTCTCGTGGTGAACCGAATTATTCGGTCAAGACAGGAAACCAACTCATCGATAATATTCAATATTTAAATATTATGACGTACTAGGTACTTTATTTAATCTATTTTAAGTACTTATTCATAAATGGTCCCATCGACTCTAAGTTTAACGATCTATTAATTTTATGAAGAAGTATAACAAAACATCTTCATAAAATTATTATTGTACACACACTCAAACACACACAAGTATAACAAAACATGTGTGTGTGTACATTCATCGGAAAAAATTGATTTTTAACTAATAAAAATTACACGCTACAAGGTGTTTAAAGAGGCGTTTATAGGTGTTTATCTAGATTAGTCAATCATATCTTTATTTTACAGATTAAACTGGCCACATTCTAAATCTAAATCTTTAACACTAATTAACTAATTAATATTATATGATCACATTATAACTTAAACTCAAATGGCACGTTCTAGCAACAACAATCTTCCTCTCAGCCGTACTCGCAATCAGCGTCCGCAGCGGTACAGTCTCAGCAGCAACAGCAGCAGCAATACATCAAACCATGGACGTCCGGTTCTTCGTCGTCGTTCTTGGACCAACAGCCATACATGACCAACGCATTGTTCTACCCTCCGAATCCGGTGTCTAACACTGGCAACGACATTTACTTGCCAAGGATATCTAACATCCCGCAGCAGCCATATTCCAGTGTTTACCCTATGATGCAAGCCGGTCAAATGTACCAACCTTACTACCAGCCATTCTTCCCTACACACCGAACTTCAGTAAGTTTTCATAATCTCAATAAAAATGATTAAATATATTTATAATATTTTTTTATGCCTAAGAACTAATTATTCCATTTGCGTACGGTTTACGTTAGGCTACTGCTTACCTTCGCTAGTCATTATTTATGAAATTAATGACGTTACTACAACGTTGACAATTCTTCAATTTAGCATATTGTTCTGTTTCATCTTCATATTTTTTCCCCAACATTTTTTCCGCGAAATTATTGGATGTGCCCACATTCTTGGTCTGGATTAGACTATTTAGTTATATCACTGCTCCCAGCTCTACCACCATATCTCTTTAAGATCTTCATCATCGACGACAATCGAAAAATGTGTACTCAACTTCATTCGTAAGATGAAATTTAAAATACAACCAAGTAGTTTTTATCTTACTAAACTATTGTACTGGAGTAATCACCCCTATCGTATTTCAAACATTCAAATGCACAATTAATAATAAAATTGAATGAACAATTTAATATTGATACTTATAAAAAATGTATACATAATTTATTAATGCAAAACCGTTAATAATTGTTGAAGAACGATATCAAAATAAACAATTATTCAATGACCAACTCAACTGTCGTTTGCGTGTGATAACCTAGAAATTAGAATCAAGATAATTATCTAACAATTAGAGATGTAATGTATTTTCGAACATTCGAATATAAGTATTCAATGCTACAATACCTATTATTATTAAACGTTTTGTGTTGCGCGAAAACTTAAACGAATAATTTTTGTTACATATTGTATTGTAGCATCGAATACTCAAATAATTCCTATCACTGCTAACAATTTCGACAAGAAATTAAAATTAGCACACTTACAAATATTTATATTATAATTATTCTTATATTATTTTTTGTAAGTGACATTTATTTTAATTAGGTTTCAAGTGTAACGTGAGAACATGATATTACTATCCCCTGAGAGTATTCCTAGTTACAAAACTACCAAATAATATTTTCGGTTTAAAAATTACCTATATCAAATTACAAAAAAAGATTTTTAAGATTTTAAAAATAAAAAATTTATTTACATTTAAATTTATTTTAATCCAAGACGATCTTGAAATTATTATTATTTTTTTTTTATCAACATTAGTACTGACAGGACGTAAAACAACAGTTTATTAAGTTAAGTTATTGAACCATTTTGATTACACACAAGGTGGATCTAAAGCTTTAATAAGGGGCAAATAGGAATATTATTACTATTCTTATATTATATTATTATTTATTAGCATGAAACATGGAACCTATACAAAGACATACACATAGTATTCGATAGTATATATTGATAAATATTTATTATACATACATCTATATGACTGTATATCTCTACAAAAATATTAAATATCTCTGTGGTAAAAAATTACCATTGACACATCCCCCCCCCCATAAATCCATCCCTAATTACACGTGTGGCAGAAGTATAAAATAGTATGTTTCGTGACGGAATCGTATTATTTGACTCAGCACTTGGTACAACAGTTAAGGATCAAAGTGCGTTGTACCCAACGTATGTACAATTTGCCTTATAATGATAATTTACGTCTCGTAACACTTTTCATGATAAATGAAGAATAGTTTGAATTAGATATTTTTTGATGTTGATGAATGATCGTTAATGAAATTCCGATCAAATATAATTGATTTTCTTCGTAACTCAATTGATATTTTCTTAATTGTACAAATAAATTTTGATGATATCTTAGTAAATCAAAGTTTCGTCATTATTCAAAGTATATTGACGATAGTAATAAATAATAAAATAATAAAAAAATTAATTAAAATTAAAAATTATTAAATGGTTAACAATTGTAAACTAATAAAAAAAATAAATGCTCAGCCTGGAGTTTTATTATATTTGTAAATTACGACCGGTTTCCAATTAAAAAAATTTCGTCGGGTACGTACAAAGTCAATAAAATCGCGATAATAATAAATATCAATATGTGTTTATAGCAATACTGAAACGGTTATCGTACGTACTACACACTTCAGGTCATATTTGTGTATCAATCTATGCGCATGTTCCAATTTAGTTATAGGGTTATTTGTTTATCGCTTTTAATTAAAATGGTACATTTAACAATATTAAATAAAGAAATAATTATAAATTTTTAATTAATTTACTAATCCATCGAGTCATGGGCATTGAGTGGTGGTACGGCGTGGAACGAAGCCCTCGGTATTATTATTATTATTATTATTATTACTATTACTGTTTAGCGTAGAATTCGCATTCATACCCGCAAAACTGTTTCCACTACATCACTGGACATAGGTATATAGATGCTAAACGTAATAGCTGTACACAGATTAACGGACATCACGCCTATACACAAAATCGTACATAAACGTGACCGTATCGTGAAATACATGCAATATATACCACACATCAGTTCCCGCGTGCGAGTGCGCGTGCGTGTGCGTGTGCGACCATTTCACGTTCGGCTTCTGCTCGGACGATATTCGGACGACAAGCGCAAACGGATTATAACCGTTATCGAACACAGTAGACAGACGCGTATCGGTGGTATCATTGTATTTAAACTTCGACGGTTAAAAAATAATACCTTAAATAATACCTTGGTCGAACGTATTAACGACGTCCATATCCATCCTTGTTGATATTATACACACCGGTGTGTCGTAACGCGAAGCAAATATAGGTACGCGTGCGTCCGCGTATTTCCGTAAAATTGTACACGTACAATAATTATGCACTGTGTCGTGTATGTGTATGTGTGTGTGTGTGTGTGTGTGATACAGTATGTGGATGATACGAGTGCACTTCAATATGGGATTAACCGTATTGGTCCCGTTTTTGTACGGGTAAAATAGTGACAATTTTAATTTTAACACAATTAAAAATTAAAATCCAGAGGTCACAGTGCGTAGAGAGAAAAAATAAAATTTTAAAAGCTAGATGTATGACACAATTATTACATCGATAAGATTAAGTATAAAAATATAATATGCTATAGATTACTAGAGACTAGCGAATTATCGCTATTAAGATAATGATTGAGATATATATACTTATATCGTTGTATGGCATATCGTATATATCATATGTACGTATGACAATAATGTTCGTGAGCACTGTATAGTCTCGAATAATGCATCGTTATTTATACTCCGTACCTATAATATAACCTATATAAAATTGTTTTCGCTTAAACATCGATCGTATTTTAATTTATTTTTTTTTAATTTTAATTTTCCGTTATTATGGAGTTGATTTTTAGTGAAAAGGGAACTAAGTTATTGATTATTGATTGTTACAAGCAAAAGAACCTTGCAGATAACATATGGAGGTGGATATGTATAAAAAGAAAATGTAAAGCTTACGTGAAATTGAATGGAAATTGTTGTTGAATCAGTCTTAACACATTAATTATATTAAATTTTGAAGTAATAATCAAAGGAAACTTACTAGCAAACAGAAAAGAAGTAACAAATATTTGGAAAATTGTATGACTGACTACATTAATAAGAAGTTTACAAGAATTGAATATTTAAAGAAAGTTAGCTTTAAATTTACAAATCAATTGTTTTAAATTGTATTTATTATATTTTATTATTTGTATTTAAAGTAATGACTTCCAAATCAACGATTTAAAATTTTAGATATTTTATAATTTTTTTTTAACACACATCAACGCACATTTTTAACCAAGCCTACTTTTAAGTTGACAGTCCTAAAGCCTGTAAAATCAAGAACGAAAATTTTCGTAATTAAATGGGAACCAATTCGGCTATACCTAATAATATACCTTTTTCAAACGGGAACCAATTCGGTACCAGCCCTCAGTATAATGTCTTACTCGTGGGATTGCAATACTCTCGATAAACAATAATAGGCCGCGCTACGAATATTTTATGCCTGTACGGTTGTCGTGCCGTAGGTAATGAGACGATAATAGGTACATTTATACGTAATATGTTTTTACTCGCACATTTACCGGGGGCCCCAGATCTCGGTTTGCGGCGGAACGGTAAATAAAATATTATAGCCTGAAACGTGACCTGAAACGGCGGTTAAAACAAAGTGCTCGATTTATTATCGCACGACCAAGTCTCCCGACGCATACGGCACACGTACGCACACGATATCTATAAGTTTATAACTCTAAGGACTGCAAAAAAAAAAACAGTACAGTTTATTATCCCTGCTGTGTATTCTTTGTGTGAATCGTAAGCGTACGTACAATGATACTGTGTTATATTTAATAGTATCGGTGCGCGGTACACTATTATGGAAAACGCCAGACTTACCATGTGACACAGCGTCGATTCAAGATCTATTTTCCTTGGTGTATGTAGTACACACTACCTATTTAAGTGCAGCAGCAACACGATAAGCTTGGATTCAAGAGAGGAGGAGGATGTGGGACACATTTCCTCGGAACACAATTGTTAATTTACCGTAATACCAAATAATATGTTTCTAACGTTAATCTCCCTATGTGCCTACGTTACCTTAGAAGTATTTCTGGGTCCACGTATGAAATGTGCTTGCTCAAGTTTATATAATTGTTGGGAACCTACCTATTTTTCAAGAACGTACTGCAATTATGATTGTTTTTATTGGTTATCAATGATGTATTTATATTTTATATTTTTTTGTAATCAAGTTGTTGGGTGATAAAATATCTGTGATATATGTCCTTTAATTTCGTTCAGGTTGTAGGTAACAGTTGATTATTTCTTATAGAATTATAAGAAAAAACACGTTCGTTGAGTTCACTGGGGATTTTGACCGGCTGAGTTCAAACCTAATGCATTTTATAAGGAATTTTCACTGGTCGACAAAAAATTTTTTTCTGAAAATAGTCAATGTATAATACCATTGTACGCAGGGGTGGGTTCAGAGTCGGGGAACTGTGGGTCAAGCCATTTCAAGAGGCCATTTATTAGGGATGAAACTGAATTAGAAATGAATACCTTGTAAAAAAAAAAAAAAAAAAACACAATATGCTCATAAAAGTGTATAAGTATATTTATATTACATTTTAGAATTAGTGATACCACCGATAATGACTTATTTACAATTAATAAATATAATCTAACTTTATCAACGCAACAAACGTACGGAATAAAATATGATTTACTTAACTTTCTACTAAAACGATATAATTTAAAATATAAATTATGAATTGAAAAATTTTAAATTTTGAATATACATGACATTCATTTTTCAAGCAACTCCGATGGGCCAACTGTCCAAGAGTCCAAATCAAGGTCTAAAAAGAGAAAAAATTTCCAAGGGACCAATTTTATCAACAAATATTAAGTGTGGGTCAGCTGGTAGACGGTAAGAAATATTTATAATAACTGCGGTAATGTCGGGCGTTTTAAAAATACTTAAACTCAGACCTAACGTGAACATTGCGAATAAATGGGCTTAAAGACGCGTGACGGCACCAATGAAAGCGATACCGCAGCGAGACTAACCCGTACGTTCACCATACAGCGGTCGGTGGCAGTATCCGGTACAAATGAACGATACCGAGACGAACCGAATAAATAATCCGATGACAGTCGTTTGGACGAACCACGTGAGAATTAAACCCGTCGTCCGTCACGTCGAATTCCATTCCCGTCTCCGAAATGACGCATCCTCCGCGCAGCCGTCGAACTGAACTATTTACAGACGCACGTGTATAACTACACCCGCTTATGATAATGATGCATGCGGCAACCAAAATGATCGGAGCGGCTCGAAAGCGACTCTGACACGTCCAAACACTAGGATTTTTTTTTTCCAGCCATAATTGCGGTGTTGTTCAAAAAAAAAATTATGGAGGTTAAGAAATATCAAATTTATCTCCGGGTGAGTTGTATAAACAGTTCTGGTGATTTTCAGTCTCTGTCCATTACGCGCGTATTATTGTAGTGATTCGTTCGTAAAACTCATGTTTTAGTCAAATTCGTATCGATACAAAACAATGTTTATTTTACTCGATTAGGATCGAAAAGCTTAACAGAATGAAGTACAGGTGCTAAGAAACCATGCAGTCATGATCATTAATGCCATTCATCATTTGGTCAATAGTTACATTGGTCTTATTCCGAAGTTAAAATTTATGGACAAACTGTATCGATTCCAAATGATCAAAGGACCATAGCTTTATTTGGCGTAATAGCGATTGGGTCATGCCTAACCGTTTTTACCGCGAAGCTTACTGATCTTTTTATTAGCTATCCGTTGGTAAAAGAAAAAACAAATTAACTTGAATGGCTAAAACGTATATAATGTTTAACAAAAAAATGTTACGTGATATGAATACAGACTACACTGACTTTTGTTAAAACTCTCAGCCTCCTGATATGGATGAATAAAATCAAAACTGGTTGAAGTATTAAGTATACTCTCAAAAATAATGTGACAATAATGTAATAAAACTGTCAACATTTATTTTTATTATCTATAATTTAGTTCTTTTAAATATACTTTATTTTTAGTATTAATTTTTCCCAACGGAGGTAGCATTTACCCCCAGTGCCCTCTTGGATCCGCCCATGTCCTCTTCCTAATTAACTCAGTGACACTGTGTTTTCAAACTACATTTTTAATAATAAAATATCGAATAGGTTTTATAACAATAATTGGTTATAAACACGGTTCACTAACGTATCTATAATTTGTTTGTCCGTTCTCGTAGTCCTCATACTTATAACAATATTGCCTTTTCAGAGGGTTGGCGGGTTTGACGTACGCAACCAAATGGACACAATGGCCGCTAAAATGACCGGTAAAATCAGGAACGTCACATGCGTTATGCAAGAACTTGGATACGTAAGTGTTAATTATCTATTATTGTGCACGTAAATAAAATGTGATGTTATTTACAAAATACATGATGACCACGAAATCCTATTTCTCTTATGCTTGCACGTAGAAGAAAAAAATTAAATAACTTAAAAACTTATCCTGATTAACTTTCGTTTTTCAACAACAGCTCAATCAAAATATGGAACCTGATTATGAGAACATGAACGATCGGGTGATGAGGTTACCGATAGCCGAAGAACTGAAACAGGACATGGTCGATGGCATAACATACTGCAAGAAATTTTCGGTGAGCTTTTACGAAAGTTTGATCAGCATAGTATAGTATACTTTTGTTATTTTTCAACTGAACGATGATGCATTTTATTATTAAACGCATCGAGTCTAGGCCAGACTGAGTAAGGTGTAGCCCATTATCCTAGAATAATAACGGCCCTACTCTCTGACCATAGGCGTAATTAGTTGGTGGCTAAAGAGGACTTAATATATTTTCGTTCCCCAAATAACATAATGGTAAATTATAAAAAAAGTAATTTATGGTTTGTTATAGAAAATGGAACCATTTGAGTTTTATATTTACTATTTAGGTTGGTTCTTTATATATTGACTTTGTGTCATTGTAGTTCTTTATAGTATTGTTAAGTAAAAATTATAATTGAATGTATAAAAAGAAAATTTTCGTTGTGTTAATTTTTTGTTCGAATAAAATTACCAACTGAATTTTAAAAGCATCTGTAATTGAAGTTTAATATGAAAAATATATAAATATTTAAATACAATACAAGGTTGACAACAGGATATTTTTTTAGAATTGTTATTTACGCGGAAATCCCGATCGTAATTAAAGACAAATCTTGGTGACCGTTGTGCGATAAGATAACGATTATTCCGCAGGCATATTGTGTGTATTATAAAATATTCATATTGAATTTCAAAAATTTCATTTTCAATTATCATTTAAAAAAAATCCAATCTTTTATTTATTTCAATTATTTTATGGATTTTTTTTAAAATTTACCAAGAACTCTAAGGGCCTCTGAGCTCTAGGCATCCCGAGCAGTGGTGCACACAGGATTTTTTTTCAGGGGGGGTCAAGATAAAAATATAATACATTTTACAATTAACAAAATTATGCAAATCCTTAATATACATTGACTTAAATAATAGCATTGATTATAGAATAGACTATTCTATAATCAATGATACTAGGTATTCAATACTAGCTCTTCATATTTCAAATTTGTAAAATTTGTAAATTTTAACCTAGACATCGGAGAAAATTTCGGGGGGAGAAGGGGGTTACAAACCCTTACCCCCCTTGCGTGCGCCACTGACCCTGCTTGGCTCGACGATAGCTATGCCACTGTCTTTGTAATAATTTAAAATTACCAGGCACTCTGATCATAGATTTTAACCATACTTTGCGACTGAATTAAAAACATTAATCATGATGCTGGCTGACGCTATCTCACGATCGTGCTCCAAATTACGCTTATATCTCATATAATCGTATAATGTCGTTTATACTACATTTATGAACCAATATAATCGTACCATTTATAAGGCACCGATCCAAAACCCAGTCCAGGGAGTTCAGCATAGTCGTAAATATACTCTTTCATTGACAATAAGTCGCTCCAGAATGGTTTTGAGACAAAAGTACCAAAAAAAAATTGAAGAGAATAACATTTTTGAGGGCACCGCGGAGCCTCATTTCGTTATTTCAAATACATCAGTTTATATATCATATACGAGTGAACAATATTTTCAACATTTTTATGTGAACGTAACTTTTAGGAAATTCAATTTTTTTTAAAAAAAAAAACTCCGTAATGCTCGCCAAAATGTTATTTTCTTTCATTTGTATAATAGGTGTTTTTATTCTAAAATCTTTTTGGAGTGACTTATCGTTAATCAAAAAAGGCATGTTTTTATAACTGAAAAACATTCCTACGACGTCCTCTTAATCTTTGCTGCGCGCGTTTTCTTCGAACATTCTTATCCTTACATATTTTGCACTTACGAGTTACCTGATTTATTTATTTTCACATCGTTTTCAATACATAATAAGCTTTGTGAAGATCAATTATTATTATGTATTTTATGTTTAGTCGTTGGAACTGTATACACAGAGTAGCACACTGGCATTCATCGACGAATAAGAAAAACTGTAATATTTTTGGAACATTATGTACATATGTAGGCACCTACTGGTTTTAGGTCTTGATTCCTCGAACACTAAATTAATGTTAAAACACCAGCCGCTAATTGTTACTATTTGAATACGTGGGTTAAAAATATACACCGATAGTGTTTAAACGTTTATAACGCCGCATTTAAATTCCCCATGACTGTTTTTAGTTCTCACTGAATTTGAAACCATATTCGAGTAAGTGATAGACTCGATACGTGGTCTTTCAGCCTAACAACTGAAAATAAACGTCGAATCAGTCTTGCTTCATTTAATTTTACGCTTAAAATGCGTCTCTGACTCTATAACTTAAAGCATATTTTATTACGAAATAATTTACAGTATGTTTTTGTATTTGCCAACAGATGTGCGTACCGGACGAAAGAAAAGACAAATTCGCCAAAGAGTTGGTGCGTCCAATGTTCTTTTTCAAATGCTATAAGGTGCGCGAAGTACATACAATTATAACGTTAAAGCGTTAATAAATAGGTTCTCAATTATACTTTTAACTTGATAATTATATTGTTGTGTTGTGTTCAATTGCAGCATAAAAAATTGGAATCGTGTATCATGAAAGACATCAGAGATCGTTACACGGCAGAAGAATTCGGTGAAGACAACATAGTGGCGTCCGAACGATCAATGAGAAGTCCACATTACTTAGAAGACGATACCATCGAACAAACCGTGTTTGACTATATTTACGGTGAAAAGTCCATAGACCTAGACGTATTGCTGTAAGTCCATCCCTGGAGTGTTTATCACGTGCAACTACAACCACATTCACACAAAATAAACTACCTACAATAATTATCTGTGTCCGAGAATGTCAAATCATAGACTTCAATTTAATTTATTTTATCATTATTTTGTTAAGATTATTGAAAGTAGGAGATTTATTTATTAAGTGCATCAGTCATGGTTTTAAAACGCTACTGCAAAGTAAATATGGTAAAACCAACCAGAGTAGTGGCGTTTTGATATCAGGACGTTCTTTCTCAATCCAAATTTAAATATTTATTATTAATTTATTCAACTTAGTATAGTATATAAGTATATAATATATAAAGTATAAGATAAGTAATTATAATTTTATATAATATAAATAAATATGAAAACTGTTTATTTCTTGTTATTTTAAGCATTAGAAGCTTATAAATAAACTAAATGAGTTTAGGAGTTTATTGCGAGAGCAATTACGCACAAAAGTCTAGACCATATAATAATAATAATAATAATAATAATAATAAAAATAATTTTATTCAACAAGTATAAAAGAACAAATTTGTCACATAATAATGATAATTATATGATTGTTACACATTGTTATTTATTTATAATCCATAAAATATAATTTAAACAATTAGTTTTTTTTTCAATAACATTAAACAGATAGTAGTACAATAAATAAATAATAAAGAATAAAAATAATTGGTATATTAAATTATTAGTTTGTATACGAAGATAGCAGTGTGTATAGTTAAAAGTGAACATAATAATGTCAGGGACGGAGTGGCCAAGTGGATAAGGCAGTATTTCTGTCAGTTAGGGTCATCAGTACAAACTTCGACCATAGGTAGGTTTTTATCTCAAAACAGGGAAATATGTCAAAAACTACCCTTTCCATGTCAGAAACCATGTCTCGTAATGCTGCCATTTTGGTGACCTAACTAAGGTACCAACCTACTCCCAGTCATACGATAAAAATAAAAAATTAACATAATAAAAATAATAATAATAGTTATAAATTATAATAATGGGGGGAATGAAGAGGATGGATTAGTTAAATGAAAATTGAATAAAATCCACTATCGATTTTGTAACAGTTATATTATAATAAACCTAAAATTTCTTAACTTTAAGTGTCGTGTTAAATAGTTCCCTTAAGTAAAAATAATAATAAAAAATATATTTTGATTGCAAAATTATATTCATTTGACTATAATGTCCGAGTAATTATTTTCACTGTCTTTGCGGCTGAACAGTCTCATACGGCCGGAATGTTGCGTAGCACTGCCAATTACATCCATCCATCTAAATATAATAAAAAACATTTAGCTATAGTTCATTATAAATTACACATTCATACAAAATATAAACGGGTAAGTTTAATTATAATTTGAACATTTAATCATGATAATAATTTATATGAAAAATTAGTTTTAAGAGTAGAAAAGATGCTATAATAAAAATCGTTAATGGTTTACCATTGAGGTAGAATATTCACACACAAAATAAGAAAGTAATAATTACATTACTAAGATCTTAATATTAATTAACATTATACATAAATAATGGAAATTGAAAAATTTGGTTTTAAACTAACTATGAATCATTATATAAAAAGTATAAGTAAAATATTAAATTACCACAAGTCTTAATAGTTAGTTTCTAGTATTTCTACTACTTAATAAGTAGGGAATCTCAAAAAAGGTTATGGCATTTTCTTAAATTGTTAACTAGCTTTACAACAGGTTCAATATTTTTAGATACCGAAAATAATTACTACTAAATACAATACATATTTTATAAAACTATTCTACATAAAGGATATTATTCTCATTACTGACCAACAATTGTTTTTAAACATTATACTATTTCAAGTTATTTATTTTATATAATTATATTTATATTCTACATATAAATCATATAGTTATACTATTATTATAATAGATAATAGAAATAGAACTCTATAGAAACTTCTATATTGAATAGAATTCTATTTCTATTTCTAAATATTTTAGTATTAGTTGCAGGGTTCGGGGAAAAAAATGGTTTTTTTATTTATTTCCATTGTTTTAAACATTTTAAACATTTTAAAATAAGAAAAGAATTGTTATAATTTACTTTTAAAGGCCAATGGAAAATGGCATATAGAACAAAAATAATGTATGTTATTATGTCGCAATATTTATTTTCTAAGTTGGTCATAGTTTGGGATATTGAGGGAATCTATGTAATCAACACTAGACAATAGTAATCATTACCTCACAAACCCATACATATAATTTAAATTAGTAATGAATTAGGTACAGGTACTTCAAGTACTATAGAATAATCAATTATAGAATAATAATTGAATGTTGAAAATTAATTATAGTTACATATTTGTTTATTCTCTCCAGATTGAAGGGAGTATTTAAAAAATATAGTAGATAACTAATGTGTCCAAAATAGAACATGCAATAAAATCGACGTTTTTATAAATTTAAACTATAATTTATCATCAATATCAATTAAAATAATTACTTGTTATTACTTATTTACACCAAAAACAAATGGAATTTGAATAATAATATGGGTTTTTTTTTTTAAGTTTTAAAAGAATTTATTAAAAAACATTTTTAAACATATGATGAAAAAAGAACCTGTAAAATTCATACAATTTTGTAAATCTTACACTTAATTAAAAATATAATATGTTATAATTATATAATAATATAAGAAAGAAAGTGTGGGCGCTTATTCCCCACGGCTAACTTTTTAATACATTTTTATTAAAAAATTTTAAGAACACCTCTGAATACACCCATTCATTAATATTATTTCATATGAAATCTTTCAGGGCAGCTAAGTATATAAGTATATAATAATTATTGGAAAAAAACATGTGGATGACTATGAAAAATGAAATGAAATGAAAAATGAATGATAAAAGAATTCTAAAATGGAATATATTTATAATTTGACTACATAATGATTTGTAATGATATAATTAATCCAATTTAACAGTATTGTAATGCAATCATACATTCATACATGCTTACCTGCCAAATGTATATTCACTTTCAGCTCTGAAAAAGTATATATGATTTTTGAACTGCAACTTGAAAACAAAATCTTTTAAGATAGAGTCCTCTTCATTAGGTTTGGATACGTTATAACCTAGTAGAGGCAGACTGGCTAACGGCGAGTCATCTTGGAAAGACTTGTAGAAGAACAGACAGAAATTGGTGAATACAACCCAAAGTTTTTGCCAGCCATTGCTATTTTTAAATTTGCGCAACAGAAAACCGCTTAACTGATTCTGATGGTATGAAAGAAAAAAAGACATTAAAACAAAATAATAATTGAAAATTCAGACTTTGGACTACTCACCTCAGTGGCTCGGAGATGATCAGCCATGCCAATGCTCGTGTTCCTATGCCAACACACATGTACAGTGGTATTATTTCTTTGTGCGGTACTCGGCACTTTCCCACCATTAATTTCGGTCATAACTCCATTATAGTCACCATTGTTGCTTATCATGTCATCTGAGGAATCTGAACGAAATAAAAGTACTATTTAATGAAAACAAGTTATATGCGATTATTGACAATGTTAATCTTTTCTTACACACAGGACTAAGATTAACGAATGGCAATAAGTGCAACAAGAATATTTTATAAGAATAATTATATGAGTATTTGCAGAAATTAGAGGTTATAAGCTATACCATAAATAAATACATTTTATTCAGAAACACACAATTAATTAAAATAAGAAATAAACTATTTATATTTTTTTAAAATGATTATCAAATTAAAAATAATTAACTTACTGCATGATTTTAAACTCAAATAAATATTGGGTGGCTCAATATTTGTAGTCCGTTCTCTCTTGAATACTTGAACACTTGCTGCAATATCTTCCAACCATTTATCTTTTTCCTCCTGACTGTTCGCCGCAATTGTGATTACCCTGCAATAGGAAAACAGTCTATAATTGGCACCAAATATTTTTTATTTTTAAATCATATTCGAGTTACATGCATATTTGCTCACTGTACAAGTAGGTAATAATATCGATATACGATTAATAATAGAAAAACGTAGTCTGCGACTAATTTTTGCAATCATTTCCTCATACCTGTTATTTGAATAGATTGAAAAAGAATATTGTGTTGGGTTGTCAGTTCTTTCTTCAACAAAGAGGTCGTTGAGGGGTATCTGACCATGGACGCGAAACATGTGGCCAACCCTTGCCGTGTAAAACAACATGTCAGACATCTATATTGGCATGCACAAAAGCGCAACACTAATGTTAAGCTGAACACATATTTCTTTAAAGCTATAAGTAAAAGCTTGATTGGGCCTGTGCGGCAGCATCAAGATGGTGAAGTGGAAGTTATCATAATACTACATTATATTTAAAAAAAAAGTTACTATTTTTTAATACATTAAGTATTATTTTGATTACATAATTAAATTTTTCAACAATGTATATAAACAAATATTTTACTTTAAAAAATAAAAGAAAAAAAAGAAAAACAAACAAAAAATAAAAAAAAATAAAAATATGACTTTAAAATTATATGTATTCAAAATAGAAAAAGATAATTTAATATTAAAAAGAGAACATTTATTATACATAGAGGTGTTATATAAAAAATTATCTAATCATATAAACAAAAACAGTCAATTCAATTAATAATTAAAAAAGTAGTTAATTTACAAATATTTAGATCCAAAAATTATTTGAACATAAGTTTTTTATTGAAAATTTCACAATTAATGACATTTATTTTAAGATAAATAATGTTCTTTAGGCTCTTAAACCACACAAAATGTATCATAATTACTATTTGAGTACTAACAGACTAAAGAGAATTACAATCAAACAAACAAACAATAATGAATTTTTAAGAACGACTTATAAACTTAATCAAGAATTGAAAATTAATTAAAGCAGTTTTGATATTTTTTTACTCAAAATGTGTTTAAAATATTTTTTGTAAATTATGTTTAACACTGCCAAGCATATCTACTTTTATAAATCAATAAACATAATAACTGTCAAATACCACACAAATATAGGGACATACAAAAATTGAACTAATTTTAATAGTGATAATTAGAGTTCGGATGTTTATAACTAATTTGTTTTTCACTAAATTACCTTTAAGTATAACACAAAATTAGTTATATAGTTTAAATTAGTTAATATTTATGTACATCTATATAAACCAATTTATGTTATTTGCAAGTATACATTTTAAATCAACATTATTTAATTTTATATTTTTGAATAACTACCAAGTAAAAACACTATAAAATCATGCATAATAAATTGATATTATTTAGATATTTATATGAATATATTTAGTAATTAAGTTAAATAATTTTTTTTTTTTTTTTCATTAAAACTTGCTATTCTTAAGATTTAAAAATAGTGTATGCTACATAGAGTAATTTATGAAATTTGTTAAATAATTATTAAAAAATAATATTTTAAATTAAATAAAAAAATTGTTTATCCTTTTTGATATTTGTATAAGTATTCGTAATCAGAAATTACCATAAGTAAATTTAAATGAATACTATAATCAACTTTGGTCATTAACATCCAAGCTCTAACTTGACAGTTAACAATAGTTTCATTTGAGAAATTTCAACAGCATGTATTTGTAGCTATAGTTTTTATGATTTTCTTTTCTCTTTACATAATTTTTTTTTTAAAAACGGTATTTTCAAATTAAAATTTGATCATAAAAATATATATTAAATAATTATTTAAATATACTAAATTGTTGAAATAAAATTTAATATATTTTGACAATGTTTTAAGATTGACGGCCATCCATAATTTGAATATTATGTATGAATAGCGTGCCGCACAGTTGGGGCTGCTAAAAATAAACAAATAAGATAATGTTAAAACATGCTTCAACTTGCCAGAAAAAACATGCGCTGTTGGTAACCTTTTCTTTGTGAGAATTTGGTAAGACACCCCTGCCGAACAAACTCTCGGCCAGTAACATGAAGAGTGTCAATGCCAACCATATCTCTTTCTAACTCACAGAGCTGTACAAAGTTTTCCTATGTTATCAAAATAAAATTAACAAAATTAATAATATTCAGTTGAAAATCAAACAACTGTTCATAATTACTGATCTGCGAAGTGCACTTGGCAGTCTCTTGGTTACTTTTAACAGTTTTACTCTTGCTTCCAAGCAATTATTGTAGTCATTATGTGAAGAACCATAGTGTCTTATTAGTTCTATAAAAACAGTATATATAAATTAAACAAAAAATAATTCTTAATAAAATTTCATACTTTCTAATAAATGAGAATAATGGAGTAATCTTTGAAGTGGTTTTAAAACAAATGAAGACAATGGCAAATAGCACACTTTTTCCATCTCAAAGTCTTTATAAAATGTTTCAAATCTCTTGTTAGTACGATATGAATGATCAATTTTTTCTAAAACATTAAGGTGTTCATCCAAATAATGATCATACAACTAGAACATAAAATATTCATAAATATACATTTATTTAATTTTAATAAACTAATTAAACTAATAAAATATACCTCCAAATAATTAAAATGCTGTAGTAAAATATCTGCTATACATGGAGGGTCCCAATTGTTCAATCTCATTTCTACATCTTTCAAGAAAATAGAATGAGCATCATAAATTGGATCAATTAAATTTAAAAGCATATTTATTGCTTCTATTTGTCCCATTTCATCATCTTCTTTACTCATTTCATCTCGTAGCCACTAGTAATCAAATATGTATTATTATTTTATTTTATTTTTTAAATTGATTTATAACCTACAAAGTTAATGACTTCCAAGTCTTTTCTATAAGTGCGCTCCGTCATCAATAACTCTTTAGTAATAAAATATGCTCTGTCTGTAGGTCTCTAAAAATAGATTACAATTATAAATAAATTATAAACAAAATATTATACATCAATGGGGGCTTAGATTTTATAGACATAATAAATGACAAAAAAGCACAAATTTTCTTAAAAAAGCAAAAAAAAAGCATGATCAAAAATTAACATGAATCAGTTATAAAACTGAATAAAAAAATAAATTAAATTAAAAAAATAATTAATTATCATGTATATTGTAAGATTTTCAGAAGTGCAACTGTCTCTATTATTTGACAGAATGTTTTTATACATAGAAAACAAATGCTCTACATCCACTGAAGTTATTGGTACATACTTCATGCAAGAAGATTCGTTTAAATCTAACCTATGATAATTTATTTCGTTTGATTAAACGCCACCAGTATATTATTAATGTCTATTCATTTTTTCCAGCTTTTGTTTTTCAAAAGAACACAATTTAGTTTACCAGAAATAGTAGTTGCAATATCTACATTAGCTTCATTTAACTTCTTTTCTGCATCTAAGTCAATATTTATACACTTTGTCAACAATCCAACTATTTGCAGATCGATAATCTATACGTTTAACAAATTTAACAATCAAACCGAAAACAATAATCCAGTAGGTACAACAATTTAGTCCATATTCCAGATTTTCAAATTTATTATTAATTAAATAATACATTTTTTTATTACTATAATATAATAAACATATATAATCCAAAAGATATGGAGAAAATCAAAAATAATAGTCCAACTAAAATCTGGTAAAGAGGAAACGAACCCAAAGAACTACCGACCGATCTCACTACTGTGCCACACATATAAAATATATGAAAGAATGCTGCTCAACCGACTTATGCCAATAGTAGACAAAGAATTAATCATAGAATAATCTGGTTTCAAAAATAAACAAATTATGATTGTGGTGTTCGTAAACTTGTCGGCAGCATATAATACTGTAAACCATAGCATTATGTTAACCAAACTATATGAAATGACACATGACTATAACTTTGTAAAAATAATTAAAACCCTACTTAGTAACCGTCGGTTCTTTGTTACCCCAGATGGAAAAAATAGTCGATGGAGAAACTCAAAAAACAGTCTCCCGGAATAGTAATAGGGAAGTGTACTTGCACCGACATTCTTCAATATATATATGAACGATTAGCCAATTTCAAACAATACAAATATCAAACATTATATATACGCAGATGACTCGGCAATTGCAGAACAAGACAATATCTTCAAGACCATTGAGAGGAAACTATCAATCACAGTTGCCAAAATGGACAAATATTTTGAAGTTAACTCCCTACGTTAGACTAGAAAACTCATCAGCTTTATGTGAGTGCGGCGAGGAACAGACAATGGATCACTTATTGGAATGCTATGAATGCCTAATTACCTGCAGTGAAAAGGACCTCATGATAGCCAACCAGAGGGCAATAGACATGGCCAAGTACTGGTTAAACTTTACTTAACAAATTTTGATAGCGGAAGCTCAAATTACCAAAGAAGTTACAAATAAACAGTCTATTTATTACACTATAGTCCGTTCATACCTTTAATATTATAGTTTTATTTGTTTTATTTTACCTATTCTTTAATTTTTTACAGTAAGTTCTATTTTATGTTAATCTATTGTGTTCCAGTTTAATGCAGCCTAACACAATATAAATAAATAAATAAATAATCATAAAAAATTCTATAGCTGGAATAATTGAAAAAGCAATAAAAAAGTAAAAATTAATTGGTTTATTTGGAAACAGAAAGATGTGAAACAAGTTTATATTTAAAAATTATAGTTCTATCTCATATATAAAAAAAGAAGCATTTACTTTAAATCCAAGCTCTATACATCAATATTATATGAATCAACACTTACTTTACGTTTTGTATCAGTGACTTCAAGACTTCTCAATAAAGTTTCATCTTTGGAGTTAACAATGGTACTAATGTTGCTATAATGATCGTTACTAAAATATTGAAGTTAATTTTTAGAAAAGAAAAAAGTGCTTTTATATATTACATTTTACCTTATATTTCCTAAAGATCCATTTGTTATATGATTTTTTGGAGTAGATGATGCCACTGTCACTACACCATTTTCTTTAACTGATGTGGTAGATAATGTTGGAGTCAATCCATTCACCTTCTTGAATGGAGAGTCTACTTCTTCAGGAGTATCACCTTAAATTTAAAAATATTTAATGATTAAAATATTTGATACTTATCACATAATATAATAAAATGAATATACCATGCGTAAGATAATTCGCAAAAAAAAAAAGTAATAATAAAAAGATATTATAGTTTAATAATAACCAATAATAAGTGCAATTTTATGAAATTAAAATAGGGATAGGTTTATGATTATAAATAAACAATTTTTAAAAATTTGAGTCAATAACAATGTATGCTGCAAAATAAAAATAATGTGTATGAAAAATAATAATAAAATCAGAAGCAATTTGATGATACATTGATGAATATGAATAAACTAATAGGGTTTAACATCAAATGTATAATTATTTATGTGTTAAAATAACTCACTTAAACTCCATCAGACAAAACAGGATAATAGCATAATTGAATGATTTAATAGACATTCAGTATATAAAAGATACATGGAAATTATTAAAAATCTTAAGACATATATTTATTTTAAGTTCTTTTATTAGTTATTATATTTTTATAGTTGTTTGTATTTACACAGAAAAATGGTACCTAGATATAATAAATATAATAAATTATTTATAAAAATTTACAAAATTAAAATCAAATATCTAAACACCTATTTAGTTATTCATAAAAAAAAAAAAAAAACAATTAGGTAAAGAAATTAATAGAATGAATCTTAACATGTAAATACAAACATTTTCAGGAAATTCAGTAATGTATACTTAAAAAAACAAACATAAAATATAAGAACATAGAAAAAGCTGTCACAAAAAATGTGAGCTTTTAACAACTATTAATTTAAAGTATTTAAATAAAATGAAATAACTATAAAATGAACATAGAAAGACGACATGTTATGACAGATCCTTAGTTAATGGCATAAAAGAGAGATAATGAATATTTGAGTTTTGAAAAATAATATTATTTATCTCAAAAAAAAAGGTTATAAAAGGTCATAAAAGGTGTATATTATGTATGAATTATTTATTAAGGAGGAAGACTGTTTAAAATTTATATTTTAATTTTATAATACATTTAAAAATTAATTAGATTTCCAAATATTAAAAATTGAAAAGTACTTGTTAGATTACATTTGAGTTTTTAAACTCAAATGATATGTAACATATTCATTTATTTCTCTTTTAAATCAACAGCAATACAACCTTAGTTCCATCATATCATTCATATTTCTCAGTATTATACATTGGAAATCAATTCTAATTTGTAATAATATTCAATATCAGTCTATTATATTTAATAATAATTAATTATACATAAATATTTAACTTTGTATTATATTATTATTGAATGATACATTAAAGTCTAATAATTGTAAATTATCACTGATAATGTGGCACATTCAATTTTAGGTACAAAAGTGGTTATTTTTATTCGTGCAAAATAAAAATCTTTAAAATCAATATAGATGATTTAAAATGTATATAAATAAGGTTTTCAGTTTATGATCCAAGAAACATATAATAACAAATTATTAAAATTGTAATAAATAAACATTGAATGTCAAATATATTTTTAGTCATGTTTCAAGTTATAACTTAACTAATATTCATCAGACAATTCACTATCACAAAAATTAAATAATTTATCTCATTGTTTGTTTTTTTAAAACCAACCAAATACTGCAGTATTGAATACAAATACCAAAAATTCTTATCTTAAAAATATTATATTATTACGCCAAGATAAACATGGTTCAATTAAAATTATTAATAATTATTTTAATCAAAAAAAAAAAAACTAAATAATTTTACTATCACAACCATAAAAAACATATTTATAACATAAATATTAAAGAAAAAATTACTAATGTAGGTACCTTGTAAAATGCTAAACAAATTATCTAATAAAAATGTTGTCAACCTTAACTCTCTTAACACATTATTTGTTATACTACACCCTATTTGCCATTAATATTTAAAAATTGGTTCAAATAAACGTAATTATTAATTATTAAATAGAGGTTTAGGTGGAGGCTTATTTATATCTCTATAGTTGAAATTCGCACTATACTTTAGTTATTTGTATTACTTTAGGTTTTCTTTTTAAGGTATGAGTATAGCGTCTTCTTTTGGAAGCCCTAGGTATTGTATTTGGAACATTAGGTGGCTCTTGGGCTTCAAGAGATGACGATGAAGCATCACTAGGAGGACTACGAGTCAATGAGAAATAAGAATGACAACGAGCTCTAGTAGCTAAAGTTTTAGGTTTTGGTACAGTTGCATCTAATGATGCAGGACCATGTGGCATACGGCTCTTTTTAGTTTTCATACTTGTTTTAGGTAGTTCAAACATGTGTGCTGGTGGTCGGTAGAATTTGGATTCATCCGATTCTGTAAATGGGGAGTCATATTCATCTGAATCTTTATTCAAAAACTCTGGAGGTGGACAAACATTATCGTAATGGTGAAGAATTGTGGCATTGCTTGAAAATTCTGATGTAGATATCCCAGCTGATGTATCATCACCAAACGATAGTCTAGGCTTGTTTGTAGATGGTGCTCGACGTAGTTCATCTTTTTCTTCTACAACATCATCATTATTAATTGTTTTAGCATCTTCATCATCATCAAAATGTTTTTGTTCAATAGGAGTCAGTTCTTCACTTTTAGGAGAAGGCCATTCTTCGATAGGTGAAGGTATATCAAACGCATATTCTACTGGTAATGGTGGCAAGTCTGGTAAACTATCCATCGCATCAGAACATAAACTTGGTTGGCAATCACTAGACAATATAGAATCATCCAAAGAAGCAGATTGAGTTGAATATTTTGTAGACAATTCATCATCAATCTCTGATTTTTCAGAAGTGCTCTGTTCACTTATTCTAGATAATGTTCTAGACATACCATAAACACCATACCCTATGAGATACATACCAGAATATGTAACATCTGGAGTAGGGGGTAAAGGGCTAGATGTGACATCTTCTTCATCAGCAATGTTTCCACTCAAGTCATCCATATGAGGTGGATCATCAAGGCTTGAACTACCAGAGCTTTCTAAAGAAAGCTTATGATGTCGTTTAGGCTCCAACTTAGGTGGAATTTCAATGCACCCCAATTTATTAATCAATTCAGCATGATCAATTTCTTCTGTAAAAACATCCAAATTAGGTTCTGGTTCTTTTTCACAATTATCTTTTTTATCAGTAGTAGAATTATCTGCTTCAATTACTGTATCCTCGATAATTTCTGAAACACTCTGACCTGTTTTTTGAGTTGTTCGTTTTGTTTCATCTGAACTTTGTGAATCAAGTTCTTTAAATGGTATTTCCTCACTACTTCCAGAATCATCAACAGATACCCAATCATCATCAGTAGAACATTTATTACTATGTTTTTGAGTGACAGTATTAGTTGCACAAGTACTTACAGGCACAATAAATGTTTCATCTTCAAAGTCTTTGTGTTCATAATCAATAGTAGACGTCACATTTAGTTCTTCTGAATCCCAAACTTCAATTTCGAAATTTTTTAATTTTTTAAATGAGTCCAAACGTTCTTGTCGAGTACTTGAACGTCTTCTTTCAGGTGTTATACTTGGAGATAATGATATACTATCAGGATTATCTGATCCCACAACAACATCAATTAGATATGTAAGGCATTCTACAATAGTCTCATCAACTTTAATGTTCCACCATTTAATTGGCTTTTCTTCTAACTCTATATCATCTTCATTATCAACTGTATCGTCCTTACTAGAAAATGATGTAACCAAAGGAAGTTGATGAAGTGATACAACAGGTGAATCTAAAGATATAGCACGTCTTTGAGATTGAGATTGGCCAGGAACATTTGGAAATGCTGAACCCTCAGATAAACCTAATCTAGCAAATAGTACAGGAGACTTTTCTCGTTTTTGAGGTATTTTATCAGTTAATTTTTTTTTTGGTAGTTCAGCTAACGACTGATCAATTTTTGTATTATTAGTAATTACATCAAAATTTGTTATTCTTGAGGCTAATGATTGAAATTTATTTATTTTATTAGTTTTAGATTCTGAATTTGTAGGTTGAGGTGCAATATTTGGATGTGAAGACATCATACAAGACAATGCACTTTTTAATTTCAATTTAGTTTCATTAAAATTATTACTAATAGGAACAACTTGCTCTTCGTCTTTTCCAGTGCTACTAGTTTCAACTTTTTTTGGTTTGATATTCTGAGTTATTTCAGAATATGTAATTTTAGAGTTATTTACAGAGTTTGACACAATATCTGGAAGGGCACTATATTCCATAGGTATATTATTGTCATTTGTTATATTATTATCATCACTAATTACAACATTAGGAACTACATGGTTGGAATTTGAAGACAAAGCAGTAGCAATTTTTATTTTAACAGCAGACGACTTAAAAATGTTTTCTTTTTTAGGGCTATTTGAAATACATCTTTCAGGTGATAAACCAGGAGAACTCGAAGCAACTGATGTAGAAGCTGATCCTAAACTTTTGTTATCTTTACTAACAACAGAATCCTTTCTTATTTTTTTAGCTTTTCCCCCTCGATATTCTACAATTTTTACGTCTTCAGGTTTAATGTCTTCCTCAGGGTTAATTTGTATTACTTCAACTTCTTTTTTTAATCCAGTATCTGCACTTCGAGGTTGGTAATACATTTTTTTGCCTTTATTAACAGGTACACTATCAGCACTATGACAAGACTTTAGTTTATGAACTTTATCATTTGTAGTTGTTTTAACATCAGATTCATTAAATGAAGTTGATTTGTACGCCATTTGAATAAGCTCTGAACTTTTACATGTTGTTACAACATTGTCATGATATTTATTTAATAAAAGTGTATCTAAATTAACAGGACTGTCATCTTCAACACTTACATAACTTGTAGATTGTGCTGATAATGATAAACCAGAATCTTGAGAATAATGATCGGAACCACATTTAATTGTTGACCATTTTACTGTATTCTCTTCATTAGATGAACCTTCAAATGTATGTCGTTTATGTAATATATAAGGGATATCTAATTCTAGTTTAACAGCACTTGGTTCAAAATTATCAAGGGGTGTCAAATCTATGGATTTTTGATGTAAAAGTTTATGAGGTTTATGTTTAGGAGCACTCATATATGAATCACTTTTGGTACGCTCTACAGGAACATGACTTGTTTCACTTTTATTTTCCAATGCATTAAATCGAATAGTATTATTTGTAAAAATTTGTTCTTTACTTCTAGAAGCCAACTCTTTTTTGCAAATTTCATTAAATTTATTAAACTCTATATCTCTATATTTAGGTTCTAAGTAACCTAATCGTTTTTCAATTTCTAAAGTATTTTCTTTATTATCATTTTCTACATAAAATATTTCATCTTCTTCGTCACTAACAGTAGTATCAAATATTTCTTTTTCAAGTAATTCATATGAATCTTGACTAATATCATCTTGATACATATCATCTGTATCAGGTACAATTCTAACACTACCCACTTTTTCAAGTTTACGATCACTACCACTTTCAGTTGATAAACTAGAAGTGGTACCAGGATAACTGCTTGAGAATATTTTAGTAATAGGGTGATCTAATGAACTATTTCGGTCAAATGAAGAATTAACTTCTTCATTTTCAACAAGAGGAGTTTCTCCAGAACAAGATCTAGGTGAAATGAAATCTTTACAGCTAGAGCTACGTTGCCAACTATAAAAGGTAGGGGTGGATTTGTCAATAAGTATTAAATCAGTCTGACTAGATTGACATTTAATATCTTTGTAAAAAGTTTCAGAATATCTAGATGATGCATATGATTTATCAGTGTCATAATCATCTTCATAGAAGTTGGACCTGATAACATTAACACGAGCACAAGGCCTAGTGCAAATGACGTTTGGGTACATAGTAATGTTGTTTACGGTGGAATGTTTCTGACCTGGATCGTTGACGCTGTACGAGTGCTGGGACGAAGTGATGGAAGTTATGTCCGAAGTTGTTGTCGTCACTGTCGTCGGATGTACAACTTGAGTAGTCAACACCTCTCCAGGCAACCCCTGGTGACGGACTACGTTCGGACTCAGAGAACCCGCTAGGCTCGTGGCTTCCGAATTTGCTAAAAAAAAAAGAAAGAAATGGATGAAAAATCAATTAATGGAATGAAAATAATTTATTATGAATAAAATTAAATATAAATAATACAAGGTATTATTTATTTTATATTGTTGGTTAATATATTTTATTGGTATGAAAAAAAAACCAATATGCATGCTATACATAGTCATAGAAATCATGCTTAGTTCTAGTAAATTTTAGTAATCAAGTAAATGGTATTTTAAACATAAATAAGCTTACATATGTATGTACATTGTATATTTAAGATTTAAAATTAACTAAAATTTAAGCAAAAAAATATTTAATAAAACATAGCTTGAACTGACAATTTATTTAATAAATACAATTAAGTAATAGTACGTAATAGTCAATAGAATGACATAATCTATAGAAAATTTAATTTCCAGGTAATGGTTTAAGGTAAAATAATTCATAAACGATAACCACAATTTCATTTTTTTTTTCAATAATAAAACTAAATTGATTAAATCAAAATATATAACTTTTTTTAAATTGAATTTTACCAACCTTCTTTATATTAAATAGTAGCATAAGTCATTGCAATTTTAAAAGTTAAATTTAAATTATGAGAAATACATATGTAATAATTAAGTTTTTAATTAACTCATGTAATATGTTCCATAATAAATACTAATATTCCATAAAATTCACTTTTTATTTTTCTTCATCATTTTTTTCCTCGCCTTTCTCCCAACTATTTGAGGTCGGCTACCTTTTTTCTAAACCTCCACTCGTCTCTAATTTTTACATCCCCTATACACACAACAACAGCTCTTATATTATTCTCAATAATATCCAACCATCTCTTTTTTGGTCTTCCTCTTCTTATTTTCCCTTCAAAATTTATTTTTATAATAACTCTTACTACATTTGTTTATAATTTGTCATCACATGCCCAAATCCATTTTCATTCATCTTGTCATATTTAATTTTTAAACATTTTTTTTTTTTCATTATTTCTCAAAATAATTTTTGCATGTAAAAATAAAAAAAGGTTTTAATTTAAAATTAGGTCAGGTTAGTTTAATGATTATGAAGTGGCTCCAATAACATAAAAAATTAGTCTTAAGTTAATATAATTTATGTTAATTAAAAATTAAATTGCAAAAACATACCAAGGGGTAATAAAGGATGTGCTGAATTACTGGAACCAACATTGGATATAGTAGAATGCGACAATCCAGTATGCCGAAATGATTGAGACCTGTTGGCAGAAACAGGGCAAATGGTGTAAAGAAACACTATTTTTCCAATGAAAGCGACCCTTTATGTTATTTTAACACACCATCAGAAACTTCTTAATTTATGTAAATGTAAATTAAGTACTTGGAACATCTCAAAGAAAAACAATTTAAATTAGTACAGCATATCACATGCATGTTGTAATATTTATTTCACAATAATATTTAGGTTTACTAATTATTGATTATTAAGATATAAACTACTACTGAGTAAAAAATGAAATGGTACATAATTGAGTTTGAATAATGTTAACTTATACATATCACTATAAAATCGTAATGATTTGAAATTGAAACTCGCAAAGAATGCCAAATGATAAGTATAAATAATTACTTCACTCAACTAATACATATACATATAATAAAACTAATAAGCTCAATTAAAATATGAACAATTAAAATATCAAGTCCTATATTGTTTTATATAAACTACAAAATATCAGTAACTGACACTTATGTTTCTGATGTGTTTGAATTTGGAGCCACTTTCATTGATAAAAATGTGAAAAATAAACAAAAATTCATTCTCAATAACATCTATATTTGTCGCATGCTAAGAATCATAATCAAGCTATTCTTGTATTTGTGTTTACTACAGAAAAATAAGTAAATAAAAAGTTAAAACTTGACTTTTTTCATCAGAAAAATTTTTTTTAAGTTTAATTTTATATTTATTTATCATTTACAATATAAGAACTATAAATGGACTTACCTTTGGAATGTTTGTCGTTTAACAAAATTTTCCCTAACAAATTCCACCATTTGTTTTTGAGTTTTACCGCTATATCTATAATATATAATTCATATATACATTTTTATATGCAAATACTGTCTATTTTTTATAAATATTTACCTGAATGATGATCCTCGACTAAGGACCTTAGTTCTTTGTCGGGGTAAACGTTTAACAGTAAAACATCTAAAAAACCCATGATTTTCTACACATTTTTTCCAAAAACTTTTACAGTCATTACGAGTTTCAAATATGAATTCTACTATGTCTTTAAAATAACCCTGTAATTATATTTATTATTAATTAATAACTATAGACTAATAATCTACAATTGCAATTTGTTACAATTTAACAATTTATAAAAAAATAACTTACATATCCCTCAGGATGTAGTTTGATAAGAAATTTTTTCCGCTTAAAGCTCAATTTTCTAATTTTGGCCCAAGAAAATGTATTAATTTTTGTAAAATTTTGAAAAACTAATACACCCATGTGTGCAACAGAAAGATTCAAAGGTACACCTTCTGGATCCTAATATACCAATAAAATTAAAAGTTATAAAATATTTCAAGAAATTAAAATATAGTAAAACCTATAAGGACAGCAACAAGTAGTTAAAAATTGTAGCACTTTTTTTATTATATACCTCTAATAAAACATATGGACACTAAAGACAAATTAATTTGAATAAACCTGTTCCAATAGTATGTTGATACAAAATTAAAAATTTTGATTTTCTTGTAATATCCACATCCAATATTAAGAAATAACAACTGAATTATAAAAGTATTTGTGTCAGAAAATAAAAACGTCCACATTAATAAGAATGATTTCAGTCTATAATAAGTGTCATTTTCACTGTATATACCTTTGCTGAATGCATTTTGATCCCATATAATTCACATCGACGTGCAGTTTCCAATAAGTTTAAATCTGCTTCTGCCGGTGATTGTCCACTAACAAAATTTATGTAAAACAATATTACTCATTTCATGAATTTTATATTATTTCAATCATAACTTACATATGTCTTTTATGACTTTCCATTATTCTAATTTCCATTTCTCTATCTTGGTGAGGGACAAATTTATGTGATGATAAGTAAGTATGATCTGGATAATCATCGGCTGAATAATCACCGCATTCAGCTATATTTAATACAAGTGATGAATTTTGATTTATATAATATATATATGATCATATACTAAATAATATAATTTTACCTTGTACAATATAAGAAGCCATTAAGGCAGCAGTATTATCATTACATTGCATATGCCCATGTGATAAATCTCGCTTAATTTGTAAACAAAACAGATATCTGGTGTATTCCTCTTCCAGTTGAGCAGGATCAGGTGTGTAGAACTTAACGCAAAACCTCATTAATGGTTCTACTAATGATAATCCTATTTGTTTGTTTAATGGCTTTTCTAAATCTAACCAATGCTGAAAAACATTATAAATAAACTAGATAAAAATACCATTAAGATAATTTATTAATATCAGTACTTACTTTAGTAGAACCTTCTTGATATTCAAGTCCAAAATAATCGGCTTCCAACAAATTTAGTTGCTTACATACTTGTTCAAATAAAACAGACCCGTCAGCTTTCGTCTGTAATACAGTATAGTATATTAAATTCATTATTTGAGAGAAACTGAATTTCTTATCAAACCTGCACTTGAAAAAGCGTGATTGAATCATCCAACATTTGGACACGAACATTGAGCATTTTCACTCCCCTCCTAGGAGTTGTAGGTGGCGTTTTAGAACCCGATACACCAGGAGTAGATTGTGAATGTGGTATTTTATTCAAGGAATTCCCCAGAGAATTTGAGGTGAGCGTTTGGTCTTTTTCCACTGGAGACATTTTAATTTTTATTTTAAAATGAATTTAAAAGAAACAAAAATTAAAATAATTCACGAAACATAAATTTTTTATTTGATTCAAATCATGTTTTCCGATCAATGTTGATTGGTTTTATAAGATCGATAGAATAAGTTCTACAACGATAACGCCAATGGAATTCCATCTGAAATCAAAAATATATTTCATTGAAATTTATTTTATAAAACTAAATTAAAATAAATATTTTAAGTGTATATCAACAAATGAATACATCACTATTATGAGAAAAGTGATGATACTTTTTACGAATCTATATCTAATAATCTAGAAAGAAAAGGATAGATATCAGATTACTTGTATTAGTACTTATATTTATATTAGCCAACATACAAAACGAAAGTGGGTATATACAAGTGTATGACAACAACGACGAGTGTTGTGACCTTAAATAATTAAACGTCATCGAATTCAGTTGAACTATTAAATAAAAAAGGTCTTGCATACAATTTCACGTTTCACTATTCAATGGACTGCATAGCGAAGCTAAACTGTTTAAATTAATGTGCCATCAATTGAATATCATAAATAAACATAAAAATGTATATACTTATACCTATACATAAGCAATATTACTTTGCTCCCATTTATATAAAAAGCGACCACGCATCGCAAACATAATTAAATAACAATTTTTATTAGTTCAACCATGTTTGTTTTGTTTACACATAATTTTTAATTCAGTAGAAACACAAATACAAAAAATATTGAGGCCAATTGTGCCTTGTAGTGATCAAAGTATAATCTACGGTTAATAATTGCCAAAATGGTAATTGAATCACTTGTTAGTTGATTTTTAGAGAATTTCAATTATCCATTTATACATTTTTTTTTCCTTATACATACTTATAATAACACGAATTTAAGCATCCATAATTACAACCATACAAATTACAATCATAGATTAAATTCCAACACTAAAAATATTGCAACTAACGAAACGATAACTCAACAAAGGGCAAAATAAATTATAATTTTAGAGTTAAATATAGAAAATATAAAAGCATTTTTTATGATATACATTAGAACAGAGGTTTTCAATCTTTTTATATTCGCGTACCTTCTGACTTTAATTTTAAAATTTGTTTAGTGTCTCAAATGCTGAGAATGATTCTTGGATACTTGAAAAATAAGTAAATCCAACTTTATTACGAAAGCATTAACTTTTTCACTAGCATAAAATATGTTTGTGTTTGAGGCTTGAAGACTCATATTTAGAACATTAAAACAGTCAAATATGTCAGCCATTTACGCTAATCTTGACAGCTATTCGTCATCGCAAAACAATTTGAACTTTTCTTCATCAATATCAGTCAAAAATAATAAAACTTTTTAAATAAAGGAAGATTTCTTTCACGTACCACCTTTGAGCTTTACATGTACTATAAATGGTACGCGTATCACAGGTCGAGAAACGCTGCATTAGAACATAACATTATCGACCATGTATAAATATTTGACAATAATGTTTAAAAATTAAATTAAAGGGTTAGGCTCGATCATGCACCTCAAAAAGCTACATCCAATAAGAACTAAACTTAATCGTATTCCAGTCTTGAATAATAAAAAAACAAAACATTTTATATATTAACATTATACCAAATATTTAAATATGAAATAAATTGTATTTATACACGTCATTTTATGACATTTTAAGCTATTAAAAATCTAAAGCAAATAAGAATTTATTTTTATCTAATCATGTTTTACGTATATTTAATAAATAAAATGAACTCTTATTAGCTGTATTTTCAAATAATTTTAACGCCATACCAAACATAAAATAAATGTCTTTAATTTTTATACAAGAACATAATTCAAAATGATAATTAAGTTGCATATTATATTGTTAAATTTGTGTAAAGCTTCATTTAATCTTAGTTTGATTTATTTAAATATGTATATAACTTATAAATTTATTATATTGGTATATGTTTAAAACGACACAAGTGAAAAATTTAACTAACTAATGCAGAGTAATATCATTTTTATACTAATTTATCGTTTACTCATTTGCATTTTTAAAGAATTTCACTATATGCTAAAAATTACATTATACAAATAATAAAAATAAAAAATGTTTATTCTTTATATTATAAATAAAAATAAAAGATAAATACGCACATTAAGTACAATTGTGTCTAATTACAAAAGGACATATATAAATATAATATCAATGACTACGTATACTCGTACATATAAGTTAGAAGTACATTTCAATCCAAATTTCTTAACATAAATTTAACTCACTATAATAACGTTGTATAACATTGATATTTAAGCCTAACATTAAACTAGATTTCAAAAGAACTTCCTGAAAAATAAAAATTATAATAAAAATGAATATGCACTACGGAAAACATATTTCCAACATATGAATATATATATTTAAAATAGATTACTTTTAAAATTTTAATTTTAAATACATTTTAGTGTGTTTGGAACTTAAATAAACAATTTAATGAATGAAAATTTAGATCCTTACAGGATTATATACGAATATATTAAAGGGTAAACGGGTAAAAGGGCCACGTCTTTCATAAAAAAATTATAAATAATTAATGTAAATTACATAGTACTTCAGATCAAATGGTTAAGGGGCGAACTGTTTGGACATGAAAACAATTTTAAATTAACACTACTAATTAATCGAATTGAAATATTCAATATAATAGATCACGATTTAAATTCCATGCAATATCAAAATATGTTATCGTTTGCAATTAATAGCACATATTTTAATTATTTTGGTTGAATATCCGTCTTAACAGCTAAAATGAAACAAACTTGTACGAAGTCTATTCACATTATACCGGGCATTATACAGTTTATTCGCCGAGGCTATTATTGTATGTAATATGATATTCAACTACATACGTTGTTTCTAGTCTAACCCATTATAAAGCGATTCGATCCGTGCGCTAATTAGAGTGCATCTAGTGTGAAAGACATTTAAAATGAGAAAATTAATATTTCTTATTCATCATGCACTTTTTAACATAATTTTAAGACAAACGCCACGAACGTCATAAAAATTTACCACTCGTTATCGCAATTTTATTAATACACAAAGCGCGTATGTAAACAAGCACGATATCTCATTTGACTATTGGATGCAAGGAAACTGAAGAACCAACTAGGCATATAAGTAAACTAGATTTCAAAGATAATTGCTGCGGTGACTAGTATACTGTATACCGTGTAATGTTGAGTTGATGGTTGATGATGGTCGCGCGCGTTGATCGGTGTAATACACAATATTTTCTTAACGATTGTAACAACTGACTAATTATTAGCCTTTATTAGGGACAAATCAGGTACGCTAATATGAATACAAAACAGATACGGTATACAGAAGTCTATTCCAGATTTGGGTGTGGAATCTAGTCAATTCGATATATATACGTACTCTATTCGTTTTTTTTACTCTTCTCCGTTGCACACCACCACCAAGTTCACTACGAACGATGACAATCGCGTACTTCCTCCCCACGGGTCTACTACGATATAAATGAATATTGCCTGTAAAAGGAAACGTCCGGTGGAATAATGTGGCGCACGTGTGTGCGTGCGTACGTGCACGCGCGCGCACTACAGTCATCCGTACATCATTGGTCACAGTGACTACGATTCTGTTTTCATCTTCATATGATGTTCGTGGACTAGTGTGTAGTTCACAGTCACCGACATCCGACGACGTCAACGCACATGCTCAGATGTTAATCCATCCCATCAACGATTACGACACCGCCGCTGCAAGGGAATGCAGTAAAGGAGTAAATACCATTACCCTCTTGTTCCATTATTCACTCAACGAATACAGAACGCTCAAAATTCCGTTTAAATAATCTTTAAACCAAGAAACCATTGCTTTCACCAATTGATATGCGATAAAGCCGCCAGTGTTACATGGAAAAAAAAAATTAATTCGTCCCATATAAACTTCATTTTGAGCACGGAAGTATAAGAAATAAAAAATAAGTTATAGATACCACGATCCATTATAATGGTTGCAAAATAATGGTTTCTTAATAGTTAATGAATTAATATACTGTTAAAAACCCCATAAATATATATGTGTGACGATTAACGGTCAATGAATCACTGAAAACTATAAATAACACGATCAATAAAAACCATGATTTCAAATACTAATTATTTCTCCATATACGATTCAAAATTTAATTCTGTGAAAAGTATAAAGAATAATACTGAAAACGTAACATTATCATCACTCTGTATATTTCGTAAAACTGATTCAGTATACCGCTACTGAAACATGGCGTCTATAGTGTTATATACCATTATAATGATAGTAGTCGGTGTATGCACTCACTCACACAGTCATTGCCTTACACGTCCGGTCACAGGAAATGTGGCATGTTTTTATATTATGTAGAATATATAATATTATTTCATTTACCTAAACCGACAACTCTCAAAAATTACCAAAAAATATAACAAGCAAATAAGAAAATATTTTTATTGATTTCAATCAGAAATGAAAAGGTTTTAAATCAAAAACTTAATATTTATAAATGTGTGCCCAAGTTATTCATGAAATTACAAAATTCATCTAAGAATGTATAGTCTTCGAATCAAAAATTACCTTAAATAATATAATTATAGATTATAATCTAAATAACTGTTATATTTAACGATAAATTAAAAATATATTTTATAACTTTGTACAAAGAAGATAAAACTATCAAAAAAATTTACGTTTCAACCTTAAAATGTAATTATAGTTCCTCTGTATATTGTTAATCAATTAATCTATGGGCGGTAACTTAAAATTAAATACAAAATACTTGAATATATTTAATTTCAAAACGTACGGTAAATTCGTTAAATTTCTTTGTACAATTTCTTAGACAATGGAAAATAACGAGGGAAATAAGTACAATAATTCATGCATTCGGAATTTCTTCAAAATTAATAAAATAATTGCCCAGAGAAAAAATATAAATGAAAAGAGCCATTATGACGTATTTAATTATTTTATAAATTATAATTAGGGCTGGGATTTTTTATAATGTCCCAACACGTAGGTCTGTAAGTAAAAAATGTGTTTTATGTGAAACTGATAAATTGAATGTAGTTTTTTTTCGCATTTTTTGACAAATT